AGCAATCAACTATTGACGAGGCCGAGCCTCGGAATGGCCCGAGGGAGCCACGGAGGCCACTGCGTTGTCAATATTTCCAAATGCCCCTGGGAGTGGGAATCAATGGATTTCGGCTTTCCAATATGCTCATTGGGGCCATGATCAATGGTGAACCTAAACCGGCGAACACGAGTCAAAATTTCATTTCCAACGCTTGCTGGCCTTCTGCTTTGGGGATACGGATAGTGAGCCAGGGATAAGGGTGCCTTCACAAGTTCTCCTTTTAGCCTCTCCAGGCCACACCTCCCTGAACCATACAATCTATTTACCTGAAGGCAAAAGGTGACGAGCAGATTAAACCTGCCCACATGGCCCATTGGTGGAGTCACCTTTTGGAGCACCTCGTGGCCGCAGCGTTTACGCGCTTGGTTGCTTCGGTAAACAAAGTGATCAAGTTGAAACCGCCCCTGATTGTCCACCGTAACCATCCCCCTCCGGTGGACACCCACTTGGCCGCAACAAGCTTTCCGTCCGATGCTTAGCTCCGGCATCCCGGTCGTGTAGCCACGGCCGCGGGCGAAGAACCTCACCCGATGTGCTGTGTTCTGGGCCGCACACTAATGTTCCATTCGGCATTCTACGCCGTAATTGGAGGGACTTGTTTGTTTTCTGGAAAGAAAAAAAAGTCTCTCCGGCGGTTGACGTAGTATCATGTAGTAGGTATATCAAAGGGCTACCCGCCCGCCTGGGAACCTATTCTTGGCAGCCCTACTGTTCATCCCAACAACTTACATTCTCTTCTTGTCCATTACCTTTGCAGTAACCATTCGTTCATTCCAGTCATTCTTTCAAAGCTGAAGCTAGTCCAAATTCCCACCATGCAGTTCACCTCCTACCTCGTCTCGGCCATGCTGGCCGTCACGGCCGTGGCCTCCCCCACGCCCGTCAGCATCGACAAGCGTGCCACCAAGATGTGCGACGCCTTCGGCTCCGTCGCCACCGGCGGCTTCACCATCTACCACAACAACTGGGGTGCGTCCAAGGCTACCTCTGGCAGCCAGTGCACCACCTTCGAGTCCCTCAAGTCCGGCTCCGTCGCTTGGTCGACCTCCTGGACCTGGGCTGGTGGTCAGGGACAGGTCAAGTCCTACTCCAACGTTGCCCTCGAGAAGGTCAACAAGCAGCTCTCTGCTGTCAAGTCCATCCCCTCCAAGTGGACCTGGAGGTTAGTCATTCCCGCCTCAAAGATGCATCAGTCTAGACATTTGCTAACTCTTCTTTCAACAGCTACACCGGCTCTAGCATCGTTGCCGATGTCGCCTACGACCTCTGGCTCGCCCCCTCCGTTGGTGCCAACAACAAGTACGAGATCATGATCTGGCTCGGCGCTCTTGGCGGTGCTGGCCCCATCTCCAGCACTGGCAAGACCATCGACACCCCCACCATTGCCGGCACCAAGTGGTCCCTCTACTCTGGTGAGTAAAGCATTACACCACAAACACGATGACAATCCTCTAACGTAACTTCTCAGGCCCCAACGGTGACACCACTGTCTACTCCTTCGTTGCTCCTAGCCAGATCAAGAGCTTCAACGGCGACCTGAACCTCTTCTTCACCTACCTCACCTCCAAGCAGGGTGTTGCCAAGACCAACGTCATCACCAGCCTCCAGGCCGGTACCGAGCCCTTCTCCGGCACCAACGCCGTCTTCAAGACCTCCGCCTACACCCTCACCGTCCAGTAAATGCTTGTTACGGCTATGCCGAACAACGCTGTGCGGACCTCATACCCAGTCTGAACTGTGTTCAGATCCACATATTCGACACGTATATATTGTCGCACTTTGTACATACATGTAATTATCTTCAAGAATACCAAGAAAGGATTCATGACGGAACTATTGTTCTTGCCTTCATCGCCTATGAATAAGTGATATGCTATGTCCCGGTGCACATTTGCAATGGGTGTTTAAAGTTGAGTTGAATTATGCACGCTTGCTTGCGCATTCATCTATGGAGAATTGAGCGGTGAAGCTATTCGCAAACGCTGTCAACCATGGTGGTACAGTAACCGTGATATCCGTCGAACTCAACGTCCACAGGTTTGTCTTGGCACATTTCGATTCAGTCCGTCATCATCATGCCGCTTGCCCATTCTGCCCTAAGTCCAATGAGTCCCAGTTGAACTGATCGATGTTGATACCTCGCATGTCCGGCACGATGATGTTTGAGTATAAGCCATTGTCTGTTGGCGAAAAGGCACCCTGATCGTAAGTGAGACTCTGGCTAACGATGTCCATCGGAAAAGATGCACTAAAGTCATAGGGGTTCATGTTCATCGCTTCAGCCTTGGGCCCGGTATCGGAAGACTGCGGACTCAGAGCCGGTGTCACTTCCGACAGCTTTTCCTGGACTTTGACCACAATTCTCGGCGGGACCACCGGCTGCCCTGAGTTCCTCAGTGCCGCTGCCACCACTTCCCAGGTGCGCACGATGACCTCGGTGAAGGGAACAAAGACAGGATTATAACCCGGCTCAAGTTGTTCGAATCGGGCCTCAAAGTGGTCACTCATGGCGTTCCAGATATACTCGCCTTTCGGATCCAGAGGGTTCAGTTTGAGAAACTGTGTGATGCGGATGTAGGCGGGGAAAGGGTAGTATATCTGGAGAAACCACCTGAATCTCTGGATCAGCGGCGAGGCCGCTAGCTTCGCATCGCAGTGAAGCCACCTTAAAGCACTTGATAACGTGATTCTGTGCTTCTCCTCAACGGGGCCCTCGTGGAAGCTGTGGGATGTCTCCATGAGGCGAAATTTCGAGAGGGATGCGCGTGACATCCACAATGCCATGAAATGAGTCGGGTTCTCAAGATCACAGTACCGGAAGTACTTGTCTTCTACCGACTTCTCCAGCCAATCCACCTTGCCGCCACCTGGAAGTTCCTTAGCGATGGGCTTGAGAATTGGATTCGTCATGTCGAGGTAGAACGCAGTGTGCCGAGTGAAATCGGCGAGCTCGGCCGTCACCACCGAGAAAAGTGCCTCGCTGACTTTCATCTCCGCCCTCGGTGGTTCCTTCATTTCTGCTCGGAGGTCAGAGTCACTAACGTTCAGCGGCACGGCGCAGTCCCATGTCGGGGTCAAGTTGGTGGCCTTGTGCTCGGTCAGGCCGCTCATGCGAGCGTCGAAAAGCACCAAGGACCACCAGAGCCTTCGACGCATCTCGGCTTCCAGGATAGTACACCTGGTGTTGGCAGATTCGTGCTGGAGACCAATGCGTTGGCCGATGCGGATCGCGACGCCGAGGAGAGATGATATTGATCGGATGTGAGCGCTAGGGCGGCTCGCATGCTGTCAAAAGTTAGGCAATGTGATCCTCTCGATCTCGTACTGTAGGCCCTTAGCCAGTTAAGGTACGTACTAGGTAAAGAAATAACGCAGTTAAGCAGTCAATGTCATTTGTTCTCAGGAACTGACTGTTTGAGAGAGCTTGCTGGCATCCAAATTGGTACTTGGTCAAGAGAAGGGCTCTCGGCTGCTTGAAAGTTTCATAACATGCATCCTCGGAAAGACTCAAGATGGCCATAGAGTATATGCTGAACATGAGAGCCTCCAATGCGGGACTCATGTTCTCGATGCTGCTCACGGCTTCAATGATGCGCGCTTGGAAACTGGGGGCGTGAGTCACTCGTAGCAGCGCATTCACATTGTCGAGGTAAATCTGCCATAGTCGAAAGATGTGGACAGGCTCGGGATGAAGGGTTGAGAGGTCGACGGATGATCGGTCTGGGGATCCGAAGAGAATATGGTCATCGCTATCGCAGGCTTGATCCCACGTTTGCCTGATAGTCTCTCGCAAGCCAGCATGCGAGTCGTCGAGCTATACGATGTCAGTTACGGGTATTGAGAGTGAGTTGAGTACAGATACTGTACCTCCGGGCTCACCAAATGCCAAAAGTTCCTGCACACAGTTAGTGACACTGGTATCTTACGTTCGACTAAGCCTAACAGTAAAAGCGCGTGCAGAAAACCCTTAATCGGCGTTGTAGGGTAGTGACTCACTTAGGCTCATATGATGTTTCAGATTTCACAGTGACTGATGGTGAAGGCATTCCCACACCTTCGGATCGGTGCTCATCGTCCGACCCGCCACTGTCATCGACAGACTTCCCATACCTGGCCCCTAGGTCACCGTGGAGTGGCTCAAAATCAACCTTATTCTGTCGTAGTAGGCCCTCATACTTTCTCAAGCGATCGAGAAGCTCCCTCTCCGGGAATCGCCGCCTCCGTGGACGGTTCTGTGTCGCAGGCACGCACTGCAACTGATGTTTTGTGCAATGCGAGCAAGGGAACTTGCGGTCGCACTTGATCTTGCGCTGCTGGCAGAGGACGCAGGCAAGGACGCGCTGGGGTTTTGCTCGAGGAGCGGTGTCCGATTTGCTGCTTGCTATCCCGGGCGCCGACATGGTTGCAATGTCGGACGGTGTCGTGCCAAGGCCGATGCCGTGAAGAGGGGAGCTGAGTAGGTTTCGGACAGTTGCGACGACCGGGGACCGATGATGTCGGGCGGAGGTGGGCAAGGTGGGCTCTCCCCCAGGCACGGGTCAAGCTGACGACGGGATCTCAAGCGTGGCTTTTTGGACCTTGTTGCTCCGCACCACGGCGTAATCCGGACTTTAGAATGGGCCGACTAACAATTTCGGGGACAGTAAGCCCGGGCAGGATCGATGGCGTAGTCAAGCGTGAGACACTGCTGGAAGAGAGGGGTCAGACAACAGGCGCCTTATTTCCATGGAAACGAGTAAGATTTTTATTACCGACGTTTCTATGTCCTCAAGGCAACTCCTAGTCTATTATTGGAAGTTCACGGACAGTAAACGTTGGCATCTGATTCTATCGCCAGAACAAAAACAAAAACGGTCTAAATAATAAGCGAATGAGATATCGGGAAGTCGGACTTGATGCGTTCGTGCAAATGTGTGCCTCACCACTCACTTTCTTTCCCTGGTGTCCCGCTGTGCGATTTAGAAGTTATTCTCCTGGAAAGCCTTCACCAAAGCGGCCGGTCCAGTCTCATGAGACATCAGATTCCCAAGCTGTATGCCGTCTTCGATGTGAGCTTTGCCCCGCACCAAGAGATCCTTCTCATATTCGCGAACCGCATCATCGAGCTTGTCGAGGCCATAGGTCTCAATGCTTTTAGCCAGCTCCATCGCATCCCACATAGCACAGTTGACGCCTTCACCATTGGGGAGTGCCAAGTGAGCTGCATCCCCAGCCAGGGCCAGACCTGGCACCGTCGTCCAGTTCTGACTTTCAACAGGGAGGTGATACAACGGCCAACTGCGAAAGTGGTCGGCTCGTCGGATGTAGTCTTTCGGCTCCTCCGCCCAGTCGCTGTAGAAGTCGGATAGCAGTGACTTTCGCAAAGCATCAACGCTTGCTGAGTCGAGCTCTCTAGCAACGTAGTGCTCGGGAGCTTGAATCCCGAAGTACACCCTGTACCATCCGTTTCCCTGCCGCTGTACGATCATTTGGCTTGCTCCCGCCAGTAAAGATGCAGTTCCATGCCCAAACTTGTCCAAGACTGACTTGAACAGCGGGTTTTCTTCCGTGATTTGGGCTTCCACGTACGTTCTGCCGGAGTACTCAGGCTTGGCTTGTGTAATCTAGATCGTCGTCAGTCATCGAGCGTCAGTCGAGAGTGAGATGATTATGTTATACCATCGAGCGAACCTTGCTCCAAGCGCCGTCAGTGCCAACCACAAGCTTAAACCCTTCCGCAGTCGCACCGGAGGTGAACTCGAGGGCCGGTGAGCCAGCCTTATGCATTGTGACAGCTTTTAATGTGCTTCCCCATCGGATCTTCTCTTGCGGTACGGAGTCCAGAAGGATTTGTCGCAACGCTTTGCGATCTATCTCGGGCCGTCCTGCCTCATCAACTCCGCCATTGCTTTTGATGTCGAGATGTTGCTTTCCAAATTTGTCGTATACCGTGAACCTGTCGTCTTCCCATCTGGCTTCTTTGCGAAACGCACCCCACAGACCCGCCTTCCGAAGTGCCGCTTGACCAGTCGCCTCGTGAATATCCAGCGAGCCACCGGCGTTGGCTGATGTAGCGCTCTCATCTCGTTCGTAGACTACGTAGTCGACCTTTTGACGCTCGAGTAGTCGGGCTAGTGTAAGGCCGCATGGACCAGCACCGATGATGGCGATTGGGGCTGTCTTGGTTGACATTGAAGCTTTCAATACTTTGCTTGCCATATTGCTCGATTGGAGCGTTGTGCGATTTGAATGCAGTTCTTGGGTATTGAGGACTACTACACGCAATGATGTTGAAATTGTCTCTTGGTTCTTTTATACTTGATTGTGCGATGGGAATTGCGAGTCTTTCACCACAAGGTACGGAAGCAGTACACCAGCGCCACGGGTTTTAGCAGCTTATGTAGATGTACTAGGCTGGTTCCGGGGACACCCAAGCCCCGACTCGTGGTTTCGCGGAAAGTAGTAGACACCGTCCTTGTAGTCCGTGACAGTTGTAGCGGCATATCGAAATAACTACAATTGGAGTGACCGTTGATATCGGCGCGGATGGTGCCGCTGTCTTGAATTACTAAAACATCGACTCACTCTCGAATGTCCTCCATTCATTATGATGCACAGGTGCAAGGGTGGTCTGGAGGCTGCAGACTGGATAAGATTTCGTGAATCTTGAACAATTTCTTCGAGATGCTTGGTAAGGTGCTTTCCCCGAGATACTCATCTTACAATAGATGCTAAACTTTGATGTCATTGGAGAGTGTGTGCCCTCTGCTTGCATATGCTCCCATCCTGGCGAGCATGTAAAAATTGCAGCTTCTACAAACGCCTGATCTCCATGCGATTTTTCAATGCTGCTGTCAACTATGAGCGTTCAATTTTGCCACCCAGTCTTTTGACGTTGTTCTTTCATCCGTTGGACGCAATCTGAACTCAAAGGTATGTCCATTTCGTCGATTGTTTTCTTCATGGCTTCCGAAATTCGCTCTGCAGGGTTGCATTCCGGGTGCTTCTCATAGCATGTCACGTATGACAATACCCTCTTCAGAGACTTGAGTAAGTCCATGATGCTCTCGTCGGCTCTGATTGTTACTTCCGTCGCTCTCGATCCTCGGACATAGATGAGACCAGCCAATACACTTCCGAGCACGACATAATCGCATTTTTTGTTCCGAGTTACGGGAATTCCGGAAATGCCAGCGCAAAGCCATTTCCCATCTATCAATCTGTCGATTACCCCATTGAGATGTGAAGGCAGCTCTGCGGCGAGTTGACTGCGTAAAGTACGGATGGTTTCTGAGATATTCTTAGCATGGGGCTTGAGTGAACGCAGAACGTGAGGGCTAAGTTTACCAGGTATGGTCGGTGAGCCAAGAGAGTCATAGAAATAGTCTTCTAGGCGTATCCCGTCCGGAGTAGCCATGTGACCTTGATCATCTATGATGCAGGTAAGGCTGATCTTGATGATGGTCCTCGCAAACAGTCTCTCATCGCCCAATGCCCAAGCGATGCACGACAACATCGCTAGATCCCGGCCGTCTCTGGTGCTCTCAGAGGTCTTCATCATACCGTACCACTGCGCAATCCACGGTTGAAAGACATGTTCCATCTCATACAAGCTTGCCAGACAAAGAGTATGGTAAATTTCCGTGAGGCTGGGATCCTTCGGTACGAGTGAGAATTTTGCATGGATGATGTTGAGCAGGATCATCAATCCGTCCGACTTGTCGTGCTGGCAAGCATACAGCGATGGGGTCCATCCGCACCACTCCTCGTCACCCGGCTGAGTCTTTGGCGATGTCTCAATCAGTGTGCGCCTCCAGAATGGTGATGCTCGCCGTAATGTGTTTGAACAGACGCGAAATGATTTGGTGGTGCCGGTAGAAGGATCGGAGCCGACGTGCAGCAGTAGATCTCCCGTCGAGTCTATCTGAATCTCGTCTTCGTCTGTGAACGCATCTTCTGGCGGTGTTTGAACCCATTCGCTGTCCATATCACTGTCATATGCGTCTACCGCAGCAGCTGGTCGCAGAGCCAAGTTCTTGAACTCCATGCTTCACAGTTTTGTTTGATTGTGAGGAAGAGAGATGAATCCCGCTGAGAAGAGTAGAGAATGTTAGTGAACAATATTAGTACCTAGGCGAGACGCGTGGTGATGTCGTCCAAGCCCAGTGCAGCACCGCCCACCGGGCCACCCAGAGCACGGAGGTCACGGGGCATCTTGGGATGTCATGTCGCGTTACATGGTAGAGTTCTGTGGTTCCGTTAAACTCTGTTGAAGCGCAGACAATGGAGAGGCAGCTGAGGGGAAGGGAAACGCACGGAAGTGCCAGTTTTACGTAATGATACACGCTCAGCAACGAACAGACTGAGCTGATAGGTTAGCGATGCTTGGCATCTCGTACATGGAAACAACCAAAAGCAAGGTTGATAGAGTCAATTTGGTCTCTCCTCCACGTTGATCAGAGCTGTTTCGCGGGGAAGGACCCGGGCTCCGGAGGTCAGGCGGGATGGTCCGTCTGGGCTTGGCCTTGTTCTGGATTGAGGCCAAAGCTTCTTCCGCAATTCATGTTGAGACTCATCGTGCGGAGAATGACCAAGTCTGGGCACATGACTAAGCTCTACTGATTCAGGGAACTTTTAGCTAAGAGTTCGACTGAGGAAGGAACATTCTCGGAAAGAATTGAGAATTAGGCTTTGGTTACAGCTCATATGATTTGCGGGGCTTGTGATTGAGGTTGCACATCTATGACCATAAATTACCTGCTGGCTTTTGAACTCCTGAGCCACTAGATACATTTCTTGAAAGGCGACCTGGTCCTCAAAGGAACGAGAACTCGAGTGACTTTAAGATGAGCATGAGTATACTCCAAGTTGCCTCCGGGAGAGCCCATATTTGTGCCAAAGGCAGATTCACTCGACTTAGATCCTAACAAGTATGCTGACCAATGACTTCATTGTCATCCGGTGTGTGTTGTACAAAAGCTTCAACCTCATCTACATGATCAACCAGGGGTTCCTCGGCGTAGACGGCTACTATTACAAATATCAAGACGTGCTGAAGTAGCCGAGCTCTCCTCTATGAAGTGATTCAATGCTGTGGATTCTGTAAATAAGTCAAATTGGTTTCATGAGTCCTATGTGCAAATATCGAAAGAATGAGAAAGATGAGGGGGACTTCAGGATGTTAAAAGGGTCCACTTGAGACTGGGACTTTGTTATTAGGCAACTCTGAAGCAAGGTAGTGTGTTACAGGTATATACAGAGTTTGAAGGCTAGTACACGATAAGAGAAAGCCTGGTATCTGTGAAGGAGAAAGGCAAGGTCTATCGCCACGGTTATCTAAGAGATCGGGGTGGCAGCGATGTAGTCGCAGTTCGCGTTGTCAAAGGGACTACCGCAGCCAGTCTTGGTATCCTTGTCGATGAACATCGCAGGCAGGTTGAAGTAGCACGTAGGAACCTTACCCCAGGCCAAGTTGCTCAAGTCAACCTGGTCCTTGTCATCTCCACCGTTGAGCGCGCAGTCAATGATGGCGCGGTAGTACGGTTCACGGTTGCCGAGTCCGTACGAGGCCATCTTGTCATAGATATCGGACTCAACCTCGGCCCAGTCGTTGTCAGGGCCCGGGTTGGGGTTGTTGCGCATGATGTAGAAGCAGTACTCCTCGCCATCCCGCAGGGCCATCCACTGCCGTCCTGTGGCATATCCGCAGGTCTCGCGAGACTTGACCTCATCGCGCTTGTCAGCGACGAGGTAGAGCTTGGCGGCGCTCATGACATCGTTGGCGACCTTGGGCTTGATGTTGTTGCTGATGGACTGGAGGGCGACAGTGACGGCCTGCTCGTCGTCGTCAACGAGGAACCAGCCGCCATTGTAGAACTTTGTGATCTTGCTCTGGAAGGTGTCCCATTTGGGGGCGGGAAGCGAGTCGTACTCCGTCTGGCTGGTGCCGCCGCCGGTGGCGATGCGGAGGGTGTTCTCAAGAGCACCAGTGGCTTGCTTGAAAGCGTCAGCCAGGGCGGCCGAAATTGAGCCTTGATCGATCTCGTCGGCGCTGTTGGAGGCAGCCAGTCCGGAGAAGATGCCGCTGAGCATGCCGAAGCCACCAGCAATGGCGGTTCCCTTTTACAATAACGAGTTAGCGAGAGCTTGAGAAACTCATCGAAATCTGTAGACCTACAGCTCCAGGAACCAAGCCTCCGATAGCACCACCCATGGAAGCGGCGGCGGAAAGCCAGCCAAGAACATCGCCAGGGTCGTCCTGGTTTCCTTGGAAGTCGGTCACCATCTGACCAATCTGCAGTCCGCTGATGAGAGTCTCCTTGGTGAGCTGGCGATTCAGCTCATTGAACTTGGCATGCATGCCCTTGACGGCCTGGAAGATCCAGTAGGAGTTCTTGCCAATAGGGGTCTTGCCGTATGCGTCGTATTGGGCATCACAGGTCATGTCGTTCAACGGCTTGCACTCGTTTCCAAGAGCTGAGCAGCCGGCAGCACCGGACTTGCCCGATGTGCCACCTGAGACCAAGTCTTCGAGGTTCTTCAGCCAAGAGTTCTCGTGTTCTGCCCGCAAGACTTGAGTTAGAATGGAAGTTCATGACAAGACCGTCGAATACTTACCCCACTGAGACTTGATGAAGAGGTCAAGAGATGCTCCAGCATAGGTGTCTTCCCAGAGCTTGTCAGCGCCCTCGGGAGTTGTGAGATCCCATCCTTTGCACATAGCATCCTTGCTCTCAAAGGCATCCCGCTTGACGGAAACACCAAGAGGCGAGGCATTGGAAGCGGCCACAAAGGCCAAAAGAGTGGCAGAAGTCTTCATGATTGGTGTTTGAATAGTGGCGTATCAGGTTAATGAAAGAGGGAAAGCAAGGACGTTCGTCCTGAGAAAGAGTGTGATGATTTGCTAGAAGCTTGAGACTGTCGTGGTTTGTGGTAGTTGAAGATGAGGAGTGGCAACATCTTATTTAAGTTCAAGAACTTTGACGTGAAAGGGACTTTGGTGGTGAGATCACGATAGCTGCTGGAGTCTCGAACCCAAGAAGGCTGTTAGCCATAATCGCGATGCCTAGCAAATTAATTTTTGTCGAGATGAATTCTGGGGGCCGATGTCGATCGCACATTGAAGGATTGAGCTTCTTTGGTAAAGAATAGGATCTTTGGTAGGATCTTTGGTTCTGTGCCTAGCGGAAATTCAACTTAGAATCTAGCCGCCTAGAAAACCCATGTCAAAGTCTAAAATCAAGCCACGGCTACTTTATTGTGGCCGTTGGTAAGGGAGGGCACTGCCTTTGTGAGAGGCCATCAATGCAACCCGTAAGCACCAAGAGGCCCCATAAGCTAATTTCAAAGACGTGAAACATGTCAGCTTTGCTCCACCATCGTGGGGGCTATTCAGGGAACCCTTTAGCTGTGTTCTCAAGGCAGTCAGAAAAAGGGACTTTGGGATGTTTGTATGGGGGTTCCTCATTGTTGCCTGCCACTGCCGAGATTTTATCGCAGGGCACAATAGGGTCTGATCGACAGGAACGCCCTCTTGGCGACGGGAGGCGGCAACTGGACAGGCGAGCTTTTATTCCCCGAGCTCCTTGCGGACCCCGGCACAGCTTTTTTAGTGCCGTTGTCTCCTGACGTCGGGCATAAGGAACGCTCCGCATTATTAGGCAGCTCAAAAGAGAGTACCTAGCATTGATTATCTGGCCCACTATGTGAGCGAAATCGATACGCTCGATTTCCAAGGACGGTATTGAATCACTTTGTACGCTGTCTAGCCCCTAATAGTTCTGCGAAGATGAGATAGCATGGTAAACGAAGTTCAATGCGACTTAGAAGCGGGCGTCCGATGAGCTAGGGCTAAAATGTTGGCTAGAAGGATCGAAGACGCGCGCCTAACTCTGTCACCACGAATCAAGGAATCGAGTAAGCAAAAGGAACTGGGTCGCATGCAAGTTGCCCGCGTTAAATCTTTGCGTCGACGCCAAAGACGCGAAAGACTGGGCCATACATACCGATTCCGGCCATCATCTCTTGACCCTCTCCCAGCTGACCCCCTTCGGGACTACCCTGACCGGTGTAGGACTGTGATTCAGACGCCAAACAGACGACTGATACAGTGAACGAACCGCGTTTTGGGACATGAACGCCGCGCTTAGAGCGCCTCTTTTGCGCTTTTGATCGGGACTTTGGTTGACAACCAAATTGCGATTAACCTAGCCTCGAGTCCGGGCCTGAACTTCGGACTGGCCCCCCTTGCCCGTGCGGCCGCCGGGTCTGTGGAAGGCGGGGCCGATCACAACTGTTGGCGACAGCCATAGCTGGATTGACATGAAGGCATCCACATTGACCGAGTAGAGAGCGAGATTATCTTATGGTGAACCAATTCTAGCAGTCAAGCATGAACTGTATGAAGATATATTCCATGCACCTTACAATCCACCGCTAGTCAACACGCTGAGAGAGAAGAATTCGCAAGTATTTGGCAAAGTACATGTGAAGTCAACTTCGTTTTTGATCATCTGAGCTAAATGCCTGGCACTTGACGCCAGGACTCGTTACACGCACTATTCAGGACTACCTTCTAATACTCCCCTCCAATAGGCGAGATGTCTAGACCTTCGCCCTCTCCACTGGCACACTTGAATCCAGGGGCAATCGGCTGCGGCGCAGTCAACTTGCCGCCAGTGCAAGTAGCGAAGTGTGTTTCATCCTCCAAGCAGGTCAAGTAGCCTTCAGTGCAAGAGTCGGGTTCGGAATCAGAATCCTCATCGGAGTCGGGGTCAGGTGTGGGAGAATCAGGCGAGGATGTAGGGACGGTGGTCGGCTCAGATGCGGGCGCACCAGGAGTGGCCGATGCTCCACAGTCGGTGGCGGTAATCGTGATTGTGATGAAAGAGATAAATGGAGTCGGAATGATGCCGGTAGGGACTGGAGTCTCGATAGGAGAAATCATAGAAGCTGTAGGAGCTGGTGGAATAGAAGATCCGGCCGGAGCAGTTGGTGTAATAGGGACAGTGGGCTCGACGGGTGCGGTAGGTTCAGCAGGCGCTGTGCTCGGAGCCGGCTCCTGAGGCGAATTGTTGGAAGGAGAGGCAATGATGGAGGTTTCAGTTGCGATAGGTGGCAAGAGAGAGGAGCCGCCGACAATGCTAGAGGTCGGGACAGACGTAACAATGGTACCTGCAGGCACATCGCCGCCAGCCGGAGCCTCAACAGGGGTTCCGGCATTGGGGTTACCATCACAGGGCTGCTTGTAGAGATTGTCGCCTTCGGGTCGGTCGAAGTAGAGGCCGCGATTAGGGAAAGCGATAGGAACCTGGGCGTTGAGAGCCTCTCCAGTGGTGCAGCCGCCAGCGACTTCTCCAATGTTGGCCATGAAGAGCTCGGGAAACTCTTCACGCTTCGCCAGGGACATGCGACGATCAGCAAGGGGCCCACGCTTCTTTTTGGTACTATCAGCACCGCCAGCGCCACCAGTGACGGTGATGGGGGCACAGTTCATGTAGTACTCTGGCTGGCCACCAACTCTGGCGAGCCAGATCCAGGCAAAGACGTAGTCACCAGGTGCGATGCTGGAGGGGATTTTGAAGGGGTACTTATCTTCGTTGGGACCTTCGAGGTTACCCTTTTGGTTGCGGGCCGGGCAACCACCCTCGATGGAGTGGATCACCATCCACTTGGAATCCTTTGTCGGGTTGGCATCGGCGCTGAGGGCGAACTGGCAGCTGCCACCTCCGTGGACTGCCTGGCCCTTGAAGGTGGCCTCGAAGGTCTCGCCAATGGCGATGACTGTGGGTGCTCCGTCGATGATGTAACTGGCTCCAGAGGGGATCTTGCATGGGAAGTCATCACCTGTGCTAGAAATCGGGTTAGTAGGACCGTCAGCAACAAACTTGAAAGGCTTGGGATTCTCGAGGACAACGTGTCCAGATGTCGTCGATGCCAGCATCGAAGCGAGGAGGAAAATTTGGTTCATGTTGGAAAGCATCGTGGGCTTTTTTTGAGAAAACGAATTGTGGGAGAAAAGATAGTATGCCTAGAAAAGAGTGGCTAGAAAGTTGGCTGGAGTCGTAGAAAGAAAAGAAAATCTCGAAGTGTCGAGGGAAACGTTTTGTATTGATGTGGATTGGGGAGTTGTGATTCAGGGAAGCAGACCCTGGATATATGTATTCGCCGCAATTATTGAAATAGCCCTCTGTCAAGCAACAATGTACTAGTATTCAAATAATTTTAGACGTTGAACAGGCTCCGTCGTTTGTTGCACAATGGCTTAGATCCTTTTTTCTTCATCTTTGTCCATTCCCGTTTGGAACCTCGGACTTATGTGCACAGAACATCAGATCTGCCGTAAACGTTGCTATGTTGTGGAGAACAAAGGATGTGGCTTCGTCTAAGGGAAGTTGCTACGTTAACAGCTCTTTAGTCTCAGTTTCAGTCAGGTCAAGCGCATCGATCATGTGACAATGATCTCTAGAGTGGTAGTCGAATTGCCTTCGAATTGCCTTCGAATTGCCTTCGAATTGCCTTCCAGTTTCGAAGCTCCCTTTTTCGAAGCAAAAGCAAGCACTCAGACAAAGTTGGCAAAATAACAAGTGCTTCCTGATCATCGCTGGAGCTATTCGCACGTACTTAGGAGTTCGGTGCTACATGAGTCGACTTGGAGGATGAGCCGACTCAGACGGTTGATTGTCGACGTAGAAGAGCCCAGCGCTGTATAGAAATATTCGAAAATGGCTACAGTTATTCGCCGAATCAACATCAGCGGTAATTCCGTTGCGTTGCTCACTTGATTCGAAGCAAGCCGAGTACGAATAGTCTTACCCAGTACTTCCTCTAGCTCTTGAGGTAAGGATTTCCCTTGGTATCGAACAGGGACAGGTGACTCGTAGAGACTTTCTCACATGATGCCGGAGTATAACCACAAGTAATATCATGAAGAAACCGCAGATTCATAAATTTGAGGCGATACTCAAGATGCAAATGCGTAATAAGATGCACCCATACTCCCACGGAGTATCTTAACGAACATGTCTGCAGCAAGATGACATATAACATGTTGTTCTGGTTGTCTGTCATGTTCGCCAACGACCGCCCTCAGCTGCCAAGACTGCGAGACCAACATACGCGACGAGGCAGCCATGTAGCCTTTCCTCTTGGGCATGCGAGTAGCCGGGGTGCGTCACAGCCTGTCTTAGATTGTGGACCAGCGATGCTTTCAACATTGCGGCACAGCGTCGCGTCGAACAACCGAGGAATGATCCGACCACCAAGCAGTCCCTTCTTCCCGAGTCAGCTCTTGTCCAACGCTGTTTCCTTTTCATCGACTTCCAGTCGAACAGCTTCTCCTCCGTCAAGTTAAGGCGCACTGAACTCGGAGCACGAATAGGTGTGCCATCCGAACAAAGTCACGCATCATGCCTGATACCTTACACGACTCCAACTCCACTCAAGGAGCCAATTTCGACGGTGGCGCCACGACTGCCACATCTCCCGCATCGGGTGACCCAGATAACGGCCCGGCGGAGAGCCTTATCAGCGAAGGCAGCCGCGACAAGAAGGCCACACCCGCTCCCACGGAAACGCATAGCATTAGGAAGAGAGACTCCGCTGGCGCAATCCAGCAGTTCCTGCTTGATGTCCTTCTCATCATTCCGTCCCTGTGCTTCATCATTTACGGCTTGATGGCTCTCAAACACAACAATTGGCCGATCGACGCGGGAATGGTTCCAACCTTACGTATGGCCGCGACGTACAGCCCGACTGTCTTCCCCATCGTTTTTGCCGCCGTCGCCGCCAATCTGCTCAAGGCAGCGGCCGGTTGGAAGATGGAACGTGGCGTCTCGATTCTCAGTCTAGAGTACCTCCTCAGCTGCCGCACGGTCTTCAGTGCCGTTACGACGCCGCTCTCTCTACGACGTGTGAACATCCTGTCACCACTCCTCATAGGCCTCTGGGCTATGTCTCCTCTCGGAGGACAAGCAGCTCTACGTATCATCGATGTGGTACCGTCTCAAGCATCAGAACCGTACCCGTTTGAGAACCTTGAGTTCATGTCAGTGTTTCCACACTCAGGAGCCCAGAGTTCGGCTGGATTCAGCACAATGCCCTCAATTCAAGGAGCCTTTATCTCGGCCTTGTCTTTCCCCGAGGACATCAAAAAAAGACCTCGAGATGCCTTCGGGAACGTCAAGATCCCCATGCTCGAATATTATCCGCCAACAGCGGCAGCCGATGCCGACGGCTGGTACGACGTCAGCCTCGACGGTGCCGATACGACTTGGTCAGCGATTATGGGAATTCCTATAGCGACTGAAGGTGGCTTCTCCCAGGGACATAACTACTCTTTCACCTTTGAGACGGCCTATATGAATGCAGACTGTTCAGTCCAGCGTGGAGCATCAATGTCTCTCGTAGGCTGGTTCGCATACAAGAACAAAACACTTGGGCGAGAAGCAGCCTACACTACCGGCAGGACTTTACTCCTTAAATCCGACGGATTTCACGGCCTCTTTAGCAAGGATCCTAGAAGATTGATATTCACATCCTACTACCCCCAAGATAGCTTAACGACCAATGCTACATGCACACTTACAACAACACATGCCGAAGTCGATGTGGCTTGTACGGGAGATCTCTGTGGCGCCCGTCGTGTTAGACGGATTGAAAAGCCAGACAATATGACTGTTACGACAGTATTGGATGGTGTCATCGCGGAAGGATCTGGGAAGATGGCACCGGCAGGAGTTTTTGACTTGTTCATGACGACGTTTATGCGAGTCACATTGACAACATGGGAGGCGGAGAATGGCGCATGGTATAAACCATACCCTTCGCCTTTGGAAACCTATTTCACCCACCCAGCTGCCCCCTTTTCCGCACCGGGTATCGGTTCTATAAACGGAACTGATATTTACCAAGTAGGAGATGCAGTATTTTCACAGCGTTTCTCGCAGCTGCTCAACACCTTCTGGCTCGCCTCGGTGGCGTCTCGCAACATCACCGGCGACTTCAACTTCCAAGAACATACCCTCAACCGGGCAATCGAAAACACGATTGTTCAAAATACCACGGGTATGAGAATACCGGATGAACTAGTTGTGCGTGTCAGCGGACTTTGGATTTCAATGCTATTCATCGCATCGACAATTATGCTGGCTTCGGGTATTGCAGCTAGCATCTTCAGTTGTCTCCGACGAGGACCTGACGTACTGGATCGAGCCACGTACTTCTTGAGGGATAGCCCACACGTGAACGTCGCCCAACAGAGCTCACTGGAGGATGGTACTAGTCAGGTCAAAAGGATCAAAGGGGTGCGAGTTTGCATCGGCGATGTCAGACCTTCGGAGGAAACTGGGTATGTCGCATTTGGCACGGTTGGAGAAGCCATGCCCTTGAGGTGGCAGGAAAAAGAGAGACGATATGCGTAAGCTTTTGGCTAGGGGTATAGATAGTTCCAATTACAAAGATATGGATGTACTCCGTTTGAAATCGCTGTGGTAGCCTAACAGCTAGAGAATGGAATCATGATATCTTCGTTAAGTCTAGCAGCGCAAAGCCCGTTGCTCCTCATGATAACTACGAAACTGACTTCTTAATTGAAAGGACAATGCTGCAATATGTTCCCATATCAAGGAATGACGTAGGACATTTGTGGTCATCGTCTCGCGTCCCTCTTCGTCTGCCAGGTTTGGGGGACTTTTGAGCGGTTTACCGACGACATCTCAACAGGATCAAACGTGCACGTGTACGTTGTTGTCACCTACAATCTCGGCCGACACCCAGTGGGTGCCGAATGGAAAACAAGAAGAACTCAAGTAACTTGCATCCAGTACTTGACCGCATAGGGGGTGTTTGTCTTCAAATACTATCTTCATTCTCAGGAAGGAAAGGGGGACAAGGTGAAATGCGAAGTCGCTCATGGCGTCGCTGAGTCTACCTATCTGAGGGTGGAAGCTATTGTCACATTTTCTACTAGTCCCGTCTCAGGAGGGGCCTGGCGGCTTCTGCAGCAGACTGTCTAGTTTACGTGCCACACACCATGCATACTTACACACAGTTCATTCTGCGAGGATGTGAGTGCTGCTTATCCGGAACTACGGAGGTACTTTGTGTGGCTCGGCTGATGAATGATCTCCAATCTTCGAGTCTTCGGCCAGATTTTCCAGGCAAACTGACTTGTATGCCTGTCGCGCGGGGGTGCGTGGTTGCGGCATTGACACCCGAAGACCCTCCAAGTTTAAGAACCTGGGACTTTTCCCCGATCGTTTGTCCATGGCAAGTTTCAACCAACATCATGATGTAAGTATTGATTCCCCCAGAACGAACATAACGCCGCGCCTTTCCGCTGTGCATACCATACCCAAGCAACATTCCTCTTCGCAAATTTTCCGTTCGAAAGTATGTTTGCATGATTGTGCTGACCTTTCCAGCTCATACCCGCTACACCTCTCCTAGTAATGAGCATCTCGACGGAAGCTGTCATTGCCCTCTTCGCCCTCCTCGTGGCTCTCCCTCCTGCCTTAGTCGTGGTCTTCCAATGCATCCAACGACAGAAACAAAGCCTCACTCAACTCCCAGGTAAATACTGCCCCCAGAGTAATATCTAAAAGTCTACCAAATCCCCCGATTCCACCAGAGTTGGTTTGTGACGGCTCATACTTTCTTTGCCTGGAACGCTTGCGAAGTCCGCTGACAACCATGATCCAGCGCCAGCGATTTCAACCCGGAGACAACAACAACTATTCTGGAGACCAGACCTCACCGAGGGGTCGTCACTTACGCTTCGACCTATGCCTCGCAATCTCGGCGCATTGGAATGGTATTCAATAACGCGCGAGACCTACAATTTCTCGAGGGTAACATCGGATCGCTCGAGGTCTTTCCGATAGCACCAATAGAAACATATTACTAGGCGTTTCCTAGGTGCGTGCTTACATCACCAGTACTCCGAGTCCAGCTCGGACCATGGTCCGATGCATTGAATGTACACGGAGATGTGGGACCCGCCGGTCGGTGCCCCGCAGACGGGACTGTGTTTGGGGTGTTCGGAACTCTGGCGTAATGTATCTGGTACTCTATTGCATGATACAAGCATCAAGGCTTACGGAACGACTTTCTCCTGTTGCTTCCCCAAATCTTAATGTCAGATTTCTCGTTGCGTCCGCTGAGCGTCTAGGTGATGTTCCTTTGTTGAAAACCAATTTCCTTAAGCACCACGCAGATTGCCGATTTCGGAATCACTCGGTGCTGGGAAATTCTACGAGGGTTGCTAGCAAATAAAGTCTCCATTCTTGAAGCATCGCGACGTTGCTGCGAGTGATGATTCTTTCGGTTTGCATCAAATATCGGCACCGTTCAGATCGCTCTCAAATATTCCCTTTCATTCTATCTCGGACTCATCAGGTCACATGTTTCTTTATCCTTGTTGATCCACCAGATCTCATTACCAAGCTATCGTTATAGACTGGACTGTCCTCATTCAATCAGAATTAACTCAGTGGGGAGGGGACAAAACACCAGAGATACAACCTCTTCAGAAAGGGGTGCCTCTGCTGGTAAAGTGTGGCCACTCCTCGTCCAAGCCCTGTTATATAGAAGCGCAACTGCGCGTGATGTTACTAGGCATCCTGTTTTGCGTGGAGAGGGGCTTAGAAATCCCCTTTCCTTGTTAATCCAATCATGACAGGGCAGCAAACATGCGTTTATGAGGAGAGAAGATGTTCGGGGACGTAGAATGAGGAGGGAGATTAGACCACTGCGATTGGGAGTAGCGGGGTCAACGCGGGGTCAAGAGTGACGTACGGAGCAGCTTGTATATGGGGCCGGTTCAAGTGGGGGTTTACCGTGCAAGGATCCCGATACATACATCTGGGATCTTACCATGATACTTACGGCCCCGGCAACCTTTGCTAAATCTCAGAAGTCACCGGAAAGTGTCTCAAGTATCCCCGGATTAAATGTGTGCCGGGCTCTTGAGGCTTAGTCCAACCGACCCTGGGCTGGCGTGAGTCCGTCCCATCTGTTCGCTGTCAGGAACCAGTCGGAATAATACGTTGGACTCAGGGCTCGATAAAAGGTGAACGAACTTACACGGTCAACATGATCCCTTCTTCTCCCGCGCTCACCTCTGCTGTCTTGATATCGCGGGGAAGCATACAAGCTGTTCTTTTCTTTCTTGTTTTCTCCCTCTTTCAGTCTCATCAATCAAAATTTCTAGCCCATCACGCTGTACTGACCATGGGCATTTCTACTGAGGCTATCATCGCTATCATCGCTCTGTTCATCGCCATTCCCCCCATCATATTCAAAGTACAGCAATGGATACATCAAAAACAACAAATCACTGAACTCCCAGGTAGTGAATTTTATTATACTGCTTCATCTGCCGAGCTCTTTAAGAGACAACTTTTGTATTTCTTATTGGGGTCTGTTGACTCATCGTATGCCAGCGCCAGCGGTTTCCGCCCAACCACCATGGAGACCGGACCCCAACGCCCTCAGCGAGCTATCCGCACTTACACCCCGCAACGGCGACCAGAACGGAAGGGAATGGTACTCAACCACGCACGAGACATACGACCTCAGATATACGAGGGTGACTTCGGATCACTCGAGGTCTACTCGTTAGCATACCTACACAAAATCTGCAGGCTCGTCAAGCCAAATGCTTGAGTGCATCACCGACACTGCCTGAGGCTTTGAGCAGAGTGTGGCTGAGAACTTGGTCCAGGCCTTCAGTGCACGTTCTGAAACGGGGAAGTGGGACCGACCTCGGCGCACCGCCCGCCGTCGGCTGAGACACTCGACCATTTGGATCACAACATGTTTACATTGGGAGCGCGTTCTGGAGCTTCAAAGGTGTTGTTGCTGATTGGTGGGGTTCTTTCGATATATTTAAACCTTTCCGTCACCGGACCTTTCTCTTCGTCAAAATAAACTACGTTCTTATCCCGTCACATCCATCGCGCGTCCTTGAGATCGTTCACTGAGTATATGTGCCCAGCAGTTCACTGCCTTCACACTGTCCTTGATTTCAACACTGCTTTGTTTTCAGTCGAGGCATGGCTATAAGTCAAATGTTTTTTTTTTTTTTTGGCTCTCGAAATGCATCAAACCCGAACACCGCCCAATGCATCCTCAAAAATCTCAAAATTTCCCTCATTCTTCCGATCGTAAACGGCAAACCAAACCTCTCTCCACCATCCACCCCCAAACTCAGCCTCACCCAGCACCTCAAGCCAACACTTAACAATCTCCTCAGGAGGGTTTCTAAACGCACCACATCCCAACGCGCCCAACACAAGCAGACTGTGACCCCGACTCGCCGCCATCCTCAAACAAAGTCTCATCTTACTCATCGTGAGCGTCCGATCCGTCTCCTTTGCAAACTCGTATACTTCCTCGTCCCCCGCAGGTGTAGAGATTTTCCGCTTCACCACTTCCGGTCTCCGAATCGCGGCTATGCTGAGAACACTAACAACGGGTAAATCGTTATACGCAACCCGCGGAACCAGAAGCTTGTGACCGCTCGCCATATCGCCCCGAATAACGACCACATCAGGCGTGTAAAGTCCCCCACGGCGCTTGAAGGGATAATACCGCTTGTGCAAACTAAGATAAAGCGACGAGCGATAACACATGGCCTCCTCCTGTGCAATCGCACCTTTCAACCACCCGCCGCCGGCGTGGATATCTGAAGCCATATTCAGCACCGCCACACGTCCGCCATCAGGTCGTCGCGCGGCGAGTTCGATTGCCGCGTTCAGTGAGTCCTCGTTTACGATCTTGATCTTTGCGCGCGGCGTGTGTCCCGGGCAAGCTGAGGTTTTGAGAGGCGGCAGGTAGTCCAGGTGCAGATCTTCTGATTTCGAGGCGTTGATGTTGGGTAGGTGGGGGAGGATCTGGGGAAGCGCAGAGCGTGTTTCTGCTGCGACGGCGGCGAGTGATGGACTTGAGCGGTCTGATGGTTTTTGGGTGGGTTTTGACGAGGATGAGGGGCCTGGTGCTGATGATGACTGCGTGGGGGATTGCCGATTTGGCGAGCGAGGTTTCTTCTGTACTCCGCCGCCGTTCTTAGAGAAGGCGAAGTCGAAGAGATTCCTCTGCGGCATCGTGATGTCTGTTGTCGAGACGCCGTTTGATGATGGAAGTTGTTGACAAAAGCTTATGTTGAGATGAAGGATTGATGTGGTGTCTTGGGATGGATGCCTAGCGCCCGAAGGAGACGGAATGCGCCTAGAAGTGAGATCCCTGCTGCGGGGTCAATGGTTCGGACGGTTGGCGTTGAATGTGCCTGGAGGTCTGTTGCGCCGCCGAAATGTACAAGGATGCGCGATCGATGAACTAGGTACCAAGAGAGGCAATGTATTCGCGGAATTGCGGACGTTAAGAGGTGGAGAAGAATCCGAGATGTTGGATTGGGAAGAAATAAGGTTGTCGATGTTCAGTAGCTGCCGTCGATGCTGGAAGTGAACCGGCTGACTGGGCTGACTCACTAGTGGTGCCAATTTCTCTCCAACCGTTCGGACGCACGTGTTGGTCAAAAGCCGTTACAACGGAAGGCGCATCGAGAGCGAATAGATACGGTAAGACACAAGTAGTAAGAGCAACAGAGAAGGAGCTGGCGACAGGTGGTTTATGTAATTGCGCTTGTGGCTCTTCACGCGGACATTCCATGGTTTCTATGTTTCTATGTGTATCGAGACTAAGTGTTGGGCATGGGTATCATTTCAGATTTTGTCAAGATGATTTATACATGGTGTTACAGAACTTTACATCCTCCAATGTGCCCCTCGATGCTTGAAAAACGTCTTCAGGCTTTGGTCTTGATGGCTCCCTCGGGGATCGCATCCTCGGCCTCAAATTTGCGCGGGATAAGACCCTCAGCCATATCAATCGCGCTCTGCATGTCATTCTTGTTGAACAAGAACAAGCCTTGAATCGCTGCTGTGCTCGTGAACCTGTTTGCCGTCTCCCCGGTGCCATTGCCAAAGAGACCCAGTTCCTCAAGTCTCTGCAGGAAACGTTCCCGACCAGCACCATCTATGTCCACGTCGCCGTAGAAGCGGTCCCACATCAGACCTGCCTGGTACTTGGTCGCCTCGCCGATACGCATCATCATGTCTACACGACCCGGTCGAATGAGGGCCGGATCGAGACGCTCAATATGGTTCGTCGTCAAGAACGCGATTCGCTCCTCTCCAGCTGCCAAACCGTCGAGCGCGTTCAGGAGACCAGAGAAGGTCACACTGGCACCGCTGTAGCCATCCGCATCGCGCTGCCGGCGGTTGACGAACGCTGAGTCCGCGTCCTCTAGCAAGAGAATACTCCTGCGCGGCAGCTTCGTCAAGAGATATGCTAGCTTGTCGTCCGTCATACCCATCTCGCTGAGGTTGACCATGGCCACGCTAAAGTCCAGCTCACCAGCAAGAGATTGGATAAAGGAACTCTTGCCGCTGCCAGGGGGTCCGAAGAGCAGGTACCCACGGCGATAGGGGATACCGCGGTCGACATACCACTGCTGTCGTCCCAGGAAGTCCTTCACGTCGTCCACAATGCCCTCCTTGACGCCCTCGTCCAGTATAACCGAGCCGAGAGGTCGCTTCTTCCGAGGATCACCGAGCGGCGCCCATTCCATGCCTCTCGCAGAGTATACGACCGTCTTGCCCTCATTCGCCTTGGCCGCCAGCGCGTGCGCTTCGCCAAATATGTCCTCAAAGACGTGACGGTGCGCCCACAGTGTCGTCAGTTGCACAATTTCATGTGGCTCGCCCGTGTTCATGTTGGCCGTATTGTGCTTCTCGCGGTTGATTGCGATAAACGCATTCTTGTGCTTGACGATATGTCGCCCATAGCCAGGCTGCAGGAAAAAGTGTGCATTCGTCGGGCTGTTCGCGCCTCGTTGTGTCGTAGTGGTCGTCGAAACGGAGAGGTTGTGGATGCGGGTGATGCGCGAGGCGATGAAGCCGGCCTGCTCGCGCGGCTGCGACAGCCACGCGAGAATCCATGGGTACGCTGGATCTTGCTTGCTGATTTCGACGTTCACGAGGAGGCGGCGGCGAGCAGCTCCAGCTGCGACGACGACGCCTTTGCGACCGAAGGCTGCGACTGCGCCTAAGCTCGCGAGGCCGATGCCGCCGGCGAAGAGGGGGTTGTTGAAAAGGGCATCGAGGTTGAAGATCGAGGCTGGGCCGGACGACGCCGCTGTCGGTGCCGCGATCGGAGCTGCCACCGGTACAGTAGCCGCCGGTGATGCAATCTGTGCTGTCGAAGCTGTGGTTTCGGTCGAGGACATGATCAACGACGGTTGTGGTGGCTCCGGGCTCGCATTGCACGATGTTGGTGCGAGCTTGGGAATGTGGAAATGTTCGACGATTTTTTGAGACGGACCGGAAGCTTGAGCAGGGATGACGGAGCTTTCCTCGTGTCATGGAAGGCGCTGAGGAAAATCCCCGGCCAAGTGTTCAGGGGCCCACCCCTGTCGCTCATCGCTATGAGAACCCTTGCGGCCCTGTACGGAGTACTCTGTACGTACTGGACAGCTGCTTCCACAACTGCTCGGTGACATTTGACCGATGTTCCTTAGCATCAATGTCTCCATGGATTTGCACGTTCTTCTCCCCTTCAGAAGCACCATATTCAAATTAGTTTCGCAATTGGACAGAGATTTTCTCAGACGCCTTTTCATGCAAGATGCCAAAAAGCTGCATTCCTTGAACCTCCGGCAGCGCAGCTCTGTTCAAGACACTGGAAAAGACCAGTAAACAGTGTCGGAACCATCAACGGCCAATTGTTCTTTGATAATCTCGGTATCTTAGACGGACTCTAATCTGGTACTCGATTAGCTAGTCCTAACCATATTCCACGGCCGCTGCATCTACGGGAATCTAGCTGCCGCATCTTAGTGTGAGACAAAACAGACTAATATCGCTATAATCCGACCAAAACCAACCCTAGCAGAGTCGCAAGAAACAAGGACCACCATCAGGCGGTGTCGATGAGGCTACTAGAAGCTTGCCAGAAGACCCAGAGAAAGATAACTCGGAATGGGATCGGGACACAATTACGCATAGCCACATGGAATGGGCGCGCAAGTACAAGATCAGCAAAATCGTCTCGCCGTCCCTTGTTGTTTTCTCTGTGTAAATCGTCCAGCCCTCCCAAGTTCTAAAAAGGGAGGTCAATGGAGTGACAACCCAATAGATGCTTGGGGATCTCCATCATCATTCCCGGTCGTACTCACCTCGTCGAGGAGTTTGGCTTGACTATGATGCAGGCAATCGTGCCTTTAGCGATGTACGTCATCGCCCCCGGCTTGGGTCTTGTCGTTGGCCGGCATCCCGTCTCATCAGTCTTTCTCTGGATGGGCTCTCCACTGTCGGCGTAGGGTTCTGCCACAGCTTTGCCGAAATACGCATCTTGTCCGATTTCGAGTCTCTTGCGGCTTGATCATATTATCGCTCGCTCTCTTCAACCACATACATCCTCATGCAATCTCTTGGCCGGGATTTGGGTACACTTGCACTGTCACCTTCTTCTACTATACCCGCGGATATCAAAATGGTCCAGTGATAGGATCCGTTGTCGTGAACCGGGAGGACCGGTGATGGACGCAATGGACGCAATGGACATCCTTGTTGCGGTGCCGCAATACGTTAAGGTATCTAGCACCGCGTACGGCTTCGGGATTGAGCAGCAAGGCATGGCCTTTATCTCGATAGCAGTGGAAGGCGTCCTATGAGCTTTGACGGTCATGTTTTATAGAATTCCATGCCCGTTAGAACACAGCCAGAGTACAGGTTCCTGGCCATGTTCCGGTATATCGGGTTACCACTAGGGCTTTCGATTGGGCAAGGTCAAGCGGGACGAGAGTGATTCCGACATAGTCATGAAAATACCGAGAGGTGGCTGACAAGGCGAAGACGCATAACTTAATGATCCAAATGCTCATAACTGAGCACATGCTGACGTTGCAGAGGAAAAAGTGACAGTTCGGGCTGGCCCGAAGATGGTGATCGGCGGCGTGGAGCTCTCTTCCCAGCCGGGGAAATGTCCGATCGTGCCGATGTAACTGGGTACGCCCGAAAACGGGAGTTTGGGGGGCTGGCTGTGGAACCCCCACGAACCCAAACTTGTGACTTTTTGGGCGTTGGCTCGTTGAGAACATCATTTCGTAAGGTGCCGGGATGAATCGAGCAGGGTTCAAAATGACGAACCAAGCGCGACGGCGTAAAACAAAAACAGGGGCATTTGTGGAGGGGTTATCTCTGTTGGTCGACATCGGGATGAGGGGGAGGGGAACGGAGACGAAGTGCGTACGTCGCCTTTATCTATCAGATCAATTCTTTTCTTCCAATTCTGAGGATAGTCTTGGAAGGGGTCTCGCGCGTTTCGACCAGACATGGAGATGAGACGCGCAAGTCTCTCTCGAAATATCCGCTTCATGGTGTGACCCTTTGCCATTTGGTGTCATCCCTTCGGCTGGGGCTGTGCCGAATTTGGTTTGCTGGGCGTCCAGGGCCACCCACACGGCAACTCCAGTCTCCAAGAGCACCAAGAAATCCCAAGACAAAACCGCGCAGCACGGCAAAACGGCACTCATTTTATTTTGCTAGTGAATCCATCGCGGTGTGCTCTTGGTATCTTCTTGGCTCAGCCAGGCACCCAGCCTGTGCCGGCCAATAGACTATTACGCAACGCTGTCTAGGTACCGGTGGCGCGGCTTATTCAGGCCAGATGAGGGGGGATTGTGATGGGGTGCAACACCTTGGCGCGCATGAGTTTGCTTTGCGCTTGGCCTTTTTGCTTTTCGAGTGTTTATCTTTTTTTTTTCTTAGCCGTCTCAGTCGTCTGGTCTCATTCTTTAACCGGCCTTGTCCTGCAGCCACCAGACCCAATGATGTTTCTGGCGTGGCTACCTAGTTTCTCACTCCTTCAACGACATCTCCAGAGTTTTTGTCGCACCTCACGTTTACAATGTCGCATCTACACCCATCGCGATAGCTTCATTCTATCCGCCCTGTCGACGAACTCAAACGACATCTTCCACAATCTTCAATGATCACGACGACGACCCACCTCATCACTACACCAGCCTCATCCTGCTGACGACGGCTGCTTCTCAACTCAACCACAACTTAAGGCATAGCTTACGTCACTCGTGCGCTCCCTTGAGAACCATTCCTCCCTCTCAACCAAGATCCCGTGTGCCTCTCGACATCACGACTACTTCCCATTGAAGGATCTTCTACTCTCTCGCTCTGCTTCCTTTCCGCGGTTCTGCATATGCGACTCTGACGTGCATCGCCAACAACCGCCACCCAATCGCCGGTGCGTAGGGGCCACCACCTCATGACAACCTCACCACACCACCACCAACCCCTCACCTCGAATCACATCCAACCACCCAATCACGTCCACTGTCTCCAGAAGCAGCCATGTTCCTCCCCTCACCGCGCATAAGACGCCTCTTCATCCTCCTCTTCCTTGCCTTCCTCGTCGGCAACGCCCTCTTATTCCTCATCCTCCCCTACGACAACCCCCTCGTCCTCGCCTTCCGCTTCAACACCGCCAGCCTCAAAAACTGGTGGCGCGGCCCGGGAACCGAAAAGGACGCCTGGCTGTACGAGCCCGCCAAGTTCCCCATCGAGTACCGCACCGACGTCGGCCTGCTCATCAAGACGGGCTACGGAACCCGCCACCGGCTCGCGGCGCAGCTTGAAGCGTTTGATCTGACGGCGCGGGATAAGGATGCGTTTGTGGTCGTGGGCGACTGGACGCCGCGGGAGAATGGGACGATTGCTGGGGTGAAGGTGCACGATGCCATTGGCGGCGTCATGGCAATGCCGGAGATGAGGGCGCATCATGATGCGCCCAAGTTCAAGGAGTATCTCGCGCTCAAGGATGCTGTGCAGAAGGGAGATGATGCCAAGGCTACTGAGATTGGACAGAGTTTCGGGTGGGATCTGGATGCGCTCAAGGTAAATTTTCTCCCTCCTTCCTTCCCCCGTGTGTTCGCGCACGTAAGACAGCAAGAGCGTCGTACTGACAGAGGCACAAGTTCATCTGGGGCCTCGAATACATCTACGATAACCTCCCGCAAAAGAAATGGTACGTCATTGTCGACGATGATACCTACCTCGTCAAATCCTCACTCCGACTCCTCCTCGCACACTGGGACTCGGACGAGCCGCAGTACATTGGCAACGCAGTCGGCGACTTCAAGGGCCGCTTTGCCCATGGCGGGTCAGCCGTCGTAATATCGCACGAGGCGGCGAAGCAGCTCCTCTCGAGGCGGGATGTAGTCGCCGCGGCGCAGGAGCACTCGCTCAAGGAAACATGGGGTGATAAACTCGTCGCGACGGCATTTCAGAAGATCGGGGTGTACCTCGACGAGCGGTACAGCCATTTCTTCAATGGCGAGAGACCGAATATCAGCAAGATGATGGCGGATCGGTTTTGCTCGCCACTAGTTTCGTTCCACGGGGTTGCGGACCCAGCGGAGATGAAGAAGGTTGGACGGGCGTTTGCGGACGAGAGGAGTCCGGTGTTCTGGGGTCAACTGTGGGAGATTTACGGCGCGCCATCGGTGGAGGAGTTTAGGAGGATGCCGGTTCGGACGGGGCGGGATTATGTTGGGAGGATTGATGAGCGAGCTAGGATGGTGCACGCGGTTGAGAGCGCGGAGGCGTGTTTAAAGGAGTGCGAGGGTATGGGGAGCAAGTGTTTGGCGTGGGCTTGGGTTGAGCATACCTCGGAGTGCAAGCTCAGCCCATGGATGATTCTTGGGGAGGAGGTGCAGGGGCACTATTCGGGGATCAACACGGACGAGGTTGAGAAGCTACAGGTAAGTTGTTAAGAAGGTGAGAAGGCGGCGATAGACGGCAACGGTAGACATGAGAGCGCGATGATACCCAGGGAACACACAGGCGTAGAGGCGGCGGTTAGGATTGAACTATATTTCGTTGGTATTTCGGGGATGGCGCGGCAACTTTAGGCTTTTACAATGGATACAAAATCAACACGTTTCGTCTTCAATGAGGCTTTCCTATTTGGTTGTTGTAGAAATCTTCGAAGAGACTGACGTCTCCGGCAGCAATCTCCACACGAATATATCTGATGCTACGGCGCATCCGTATTCCTCGTGGGGGAAGCACCTTCACCGGCAGCTCGGTTTCGGGCGGGGTGCAACTCGGGCCCGATCGAGGGCCGAGCTCCATAGGGCAGGTCCGGATCTTGGATCCACCCAATATGTGGCTCAACATCCAGGCTCAGATGAGCACGTGTGTGGCTGGACCAACTAGGCGGCAGCTGCCCCACGAAACGAGTCGGGCTGGCTGTCATCGTGCAGGGACAGTACCTTGGGTACCTGAGGTACATACCTACCTACCTATGGTGTGCTGCAGCAGCAGCAGGCGGCCTTTCGGACGGGGAAAGTCACTCTGTGCCAGTCGGGTGTGGAAGGTCCCAGGTCCCTTGAGGTTTAGTGCGAGGGGCGTCAATGACGATGACGTCTCCGTCTCATTATGTGCGCGCACACGACACTGGACACACAGTCACTGACGCGAGCTAAGCCACGCTCCATCCCATCATTTTCGCCTCTTGCAATTAGTACGGCGCGCATTGTTGCAAGTTGGTCTAGATGCCACGGATGCCAACTGGTTTTTGTAGTGGTGGTCGACAAGACAGTTGACGTCAACTCTATCAATCAGCTTCCCACACCACCCACCAGCCCGTCATCGCATCGCATTGCCCCTCGGACAAGGGATTAAACAGCAGCAAAGCTCTTTTGAGTCTTTCCGTTGGCTTCCAACGGTCAACATTTAATTTCCAAGACTCCTTCCAATCCTCTTGGCAGCCACCCTCACTGTTCAAAGCGAAATAAAGAAATCGAACAAGAAAGCATTCCTCGAAACGGACCACTTTCAGCTCTCATAGCTGTGTCTCCATCGCCTAGTCAACCAACCGAGCGGATCGGCTTCATTTCCCAACTCTTTTCTCGAGGTTCCCTGTCGTTCATCGGTAGTGGAAACATTCCTCCCATCTGGCCCTACCACCGACCAACCCAGACACCAGAACTGCAAATCGCAGCTCCGAAATCCCTGTTCAGCTGTTGGGGAGCCCCGCCAAAAGCTGTTCTGAGCAGCAGGTCCCGTAACCAGCATAGCGACTGCGGTCACTGAGAGGCGCCCAACCCCTGCGGCACTACGACATCCCACTTTCCCTTAAAGACAGGTCCAAGACAGCTCACCACACGCGGGCCCTTTTTCAAGAGACCCCGCCTGCATGCCGTAACTTTTGGGAGAAACTTAGACACAACACACTCACCCTCCAACTCCCTATTCTTTCTTCTCCTATATTCTCGAAGCCATTCACAACTCTAACGACGGCTGCCTCAAATCTGCCATACCATCTCAGACCTAACGACTGCGACTCCTCGAATCCACAATGGCGGCCCAGACCCCAACATCAGCTCAAGCCCAGGCTAACCAGGGCAGTTGGGGAGCTTTCCTCAAGGTATGCCCTTCCTCTGCTTCCTCCTCGCTACCCAGTCTCCCACACTTCCTTCTACCCCCTGACACGAAAAACGTAGCAACTGACAATGGCCTTTCGCCGCCCTCTCACAGTCCATCGCCTCCTTCAACGGTGACCTCTCCTCCCTGACGGCCCCGCCCTTCATCCTCTCCAGCACCTCCCTGACCGAGTTCTCCTCCTACTGGTGCGAGCACCCCTCCATCTTCGCCGCCCCCGCAAAGGAGGCCGACCCGGCCAAGCGCGCCCTGCTGGTCACAAAGTGGTTCATCAGCACCCTCAAGCAGCAGTACGCCTCCCGCAGCGAGCAATACGGCAATGAGAAGAAGCCCCTGAACCCCTTCCTCGGCGAGCTCTTCCTCGGCAAGTGGGAGGATGACGCTGGAACGACGGAGCTCATCAGTGAGCAGGTTAGGTAAGAGAGCCCTTCTTCCATTGAGAGGATAGTCCAGACTCCAGAGCTCAGACGAGAATGCTGATCGCTCTTCTTTGAACAGCCACCACCCGCCCGCGACAGCCTACTCCATTACCAACCTCCCTACAGGCGTCCACCTCGAGGGCTACAACGCACAAAAAGCGACCTTTAGCCGCACGATCAACATCAAGCAGATCGGCCACGCCGTCCTGACCATCCCGACCCCAGACGGCAAGAAGGAAACCTACCTCATCACCCTGCCCGCCCTCCACATCGAAGGCCTCATCTTCGGCGCCCCCTTTATCGAACTCGAGGGCACCTCCTTCATCACCTCCTCCACGGGATACACCTCCAAGATCGACTACTCGGGCAAGGGATGGCTCTCGGGCAAGAAGAACAGCGTCATCGCCTCAATCTACCCAACAGGCAAGGAAAAGGATGTAGCCTACAACATCACGGGCGTCTGGACAAAGTCCTTTGAAATCCACGAGGGCGCTGCAAAGCACAACTCGTCCAAGACCCTCATCGACACCTACGACGCATCGCAGCACCCGACCTCCAAGCTCATCGTCGCGCCCCTCGACAAGCAGCACCCTCTCGAGTCCCGCCGCGCTTGGAAGGGCGTCGCCGACGGCATCGCAAAGGGCGACATGGACCTCGTCAGCCGCGAAAAGTCCGCAATCGAAAAGGCGCAGCGCGACCTCCGCGCAAAGGAGAAGACGGAGGGACGCTCTTGGGACCGCAGGTACTTCACCGATCGCCATGGCGCTGGCGATTCTGTGCTCGAGTCCCTCGGTGCCGCCGTCGGTCTGCCTGCTACGGGCGACGCGGACAAGACTGGCGGTCTGTGGCGGTATGATGCAGAGAAGGCGGATAAGGTGCGCAGCCAGGCGGCGCTGAGCGAGGCGGACCAGATCAAGATTGCGGGGGAGATCTTGGGACAGCAAAAGTCATCATGAGTCACGACGTACGACGCGATAGAGAGGAAAACGATAATGAGGAAGGGATGAGAAAGGAGTATTTACTGGCATGGGGTTTCTAGCTGGAGGAGCTTTGCCTCAAGGGAGGGGATGGGAAGACAGCCTCGATGGAAACGTTTGCTAGAGTTGGCGAACTGGCGCACGGGGATGCTCTTCATGTGGCCGTGAGCCCGAATTCGCGGCATGTATGGGCACAGAGTAGAGTACAAGTAATCGTATAAAGTCAGGTTAACTTTGCTGCGCACGCAACATGCCGATTCAGTACCATGAGCGTAGATACTCCATATTATGTCTTCTTACCTCATAGGCTACATTGGACTTTCGGACTGACATCGGTTCCACACCATCCTACGTACCCTCGTGGTCATCTCCAGCAATGTGTTGACAACCAGGTCCCCAGAATAAGTACCATGCGTGCATGGCAGCGTTGGGGGAGGAACGTTACCGAACATAAAATCTGAAAGCTCGTCATGTTACAGTAGACATATGTTTCTGGCCATGATATACGACGCTGTATTGGGCTTTATCCAACCTTGTCTGTGGCAAAGTCGATTGTCTTTGCCCCCTCGTACTATTTACGTACTTCGTCTCTTTTCAACTAGGTTTCTACCTCCCCCTCTGAAAAAAACACAAAGAAAGAAAGCCAATTCTGCAAAGAATGCTTCTAACAACCACCTCAAATGCTGATCAAGGTTCCTCGCGGCTTCGCCCACCATGTAGATGCATAAACAATAAGACTATTACGCCTGCCGATGCTTTTTTTTCTCTTTCTTCCTCAAGCAATAATTGTGTGAGTTTGTGCGCGCACAAGAGCATGTGCGTGATATGTTCAAAACATTGAATCTCAAGAATGTATACAAGCCAAGGTCACCGCAGCATCGTAAGTTTCATCGAGGCGGTGGCCGTGTAGGCCCGGAACGGCTCGAACTCGGGAGGCAACGTTCTAAGCTGCGAGGGAACGTTGCCAGCCTCGCTCTACGGGCTGTCGTCCCTCTCGAGCTCATAGAATAGCAAATAGACCTCGCGTCGAAGATCGAGGACCTCGGCAGTCTTGGCTTCGCGGACCTTCTCGTCGCTAATGCGCCACCAGCGATCAGCAGGCTGCTTCTTGCGGGACTTGTGGACAGGAGGCCGAGGCACTACGGCCATTGGTGTGGAGTGAGGCGGACTGCTTCCAGGTGTGCTGTTTCCATTGACTCTTTGCGAAATCTTTGAAACAGTGCTCTTTGCCGAGGCAGTAAGTGACCGTACGGATCGGATGCTAGCCGAGTCGGGCTCTCTCTGCCTGTCGCGTGGAGCAGATGTCGGGCTAATTCTCTTCCTTACTCGGTCCTTCGGCGAAGCGTCGGATGATGATAGTGATCGGGTAGAAGAAGCCGTCTCGGAGCTCGGCGTCAGAAGGTCGGGTGTCGATACGGCAGGACTGACTCCCCGAGCAATCGCGTCGAGTTGTGGTGTCGATGGCTGTGGGGTGGCGGCGGGACTCGCCGTTTTGCTATAGATGCCTGATGGCTGGAAGGTATTCTGATTGGAATACGGAGCATACGTGTTCTGTCGTCTGAATGATTCGTAGTGTCCACTATGATGACTTCCCTTGTGGGTAACGAGACCTAATAATTTGTAGTTGCGACGATCGCGCAAGCCGCCAAGAGGCAATCGCTCTGGGAAGGCAACTTTGGCCGAGTTCTTGGTCGACGTTTGGTCATAGATGGACCGCGAAAGATGGACGGCAAGGATGCGGGGAAAGGACGTGAGGCGCGTCGACCGTGCGATTTTACGCTTAGGCGCATTGGCAATGTTCGGGAGGAGCACATCCTCAGGGACATGTTCCGGATCAAAGTCAATTGCATGGCGTAACTTGCGCACTGCCTCCTCGAGTGCGGTCCTCTCAGTCTCGTTCTGTGCGTTTGCTAGATCGCTCTTGAGGGATTCTTCGGCATGGATCAGTCGGCATCTCTCGCACTTGAAATCTTCAATCATTTCCGTCTTGAAGATTTCGTCAAAGCACGAACTGAGAGTGGTGGAGCTGACTTGAGGCACATTCAACGTCAGCATGTAGAAGGACTCCTCTCTCGGCTTCGTCTTGTGGCCGCAGGTCTGGCATTCGGATTGGGATTCGTATTTCCCTTCCATGGGAAAGCCTTCGTCTTCGTCCAGAGGCGCATGTATGCCATTGGTCTGAATCTTGGGTATCGTTGGTGTAGGCAATGCTGAGGAGGACTCATCGCCATTGCCGTTGGCCAGGTTGAGGTTTTCCAGCTTTTCCTGCACTGCATCCCCATTGACAGAAGCACCTACCGAGGTCGCCCGTGAGGCTTCCAATCTTGCGTGGGTACGTGCTCTCTCGCCGGCGTGGTACTCTTCCTTGAGTCTCTCGGCCACTATTTGGAGAAATTCCTGGGCGTCTTGCTGCTGGCGACTAATGCGCTGCCTAAATGCCGTCTCGAGCACTCTCACAAACTCAATGGCAGAGATTGATTTCTTGTAGATGGGCCTTTCGTTGAGCGAATCAAGCATATCCTTCAGTCCTTGTGTTACCAATCCGCGTTGCATGCCCTCGATCTTCCATTCCGGGTAGCTCTTGCCGGGCGGCTGAACCAATTGGGAGTATACGCCTTCATCGTCAATATTTCGGCGGTGAGTTTCGCGGATTAGGTACATGCGCAGCTCGCCGAGACCCGCGAGAGCCTGCAGGGTCGAGTTGATGAAGCAATCATTTGCAGCATTGCGCAAGCCGACGACACCCTTCCTACGTGACGACGAGGTACTCGACTCGTCAATGGTAAATGTTGGCGCAAAGACGTAGACAAGGGCAATGGCAGCCAGAGATGCGCCGGCGGCGTAGGAAATCGTGGTTACGTTTTTGTCGGGCATATTGGAAAAATCGGGAGGCTCGGGATAGTCGAGGTAACGTGGAGGAGATCGGATTTATGCGCGGACGAGCGCGATTCTCGGGGATGTGCAGCTCCTGGAAGAAGAATACATAAAGGTCAGCATAGGTTTCTCCAAAGAATTGTGAAAAAGTCCCATGGTAGTGGTCGTGGTGCGTTACACCCGTCTTCCCGAGGGCCACAATGCGCAGGACGGAAGCCAAACTTACCTATGCTTTCTGTAGGTAGAGGAATCGCAAGTTCATAATGCTGCCAAGACCGGGCCAGTAGGGGTACAGGAATCCAACATTGTCTCTCCAAAACGCTGGAGACGGCGTGAAGGGATTTTGGTCGACGATCTCAAGCCGCAGAGGGCAAGGCTGTGGGAGAAGCTCGGCGTAAGGCGAAAGGAAAGAGGAGGAGAAGTGACGAGGAGAGAGATGAGGCGAGAACTGGAGAAGGAGGCTAGAAACTGGAGACGTGGACTGGGAAAGAGGGTCTGCGATGGAACACACCAGGTTGCTGGAATGGGCGGACGGGGGGTGGCAGAGTGAAAAAACGGGGTAAAATGGAGAAATCAAGCAGGTGGACGGGGGTTCACCACCGACCAAGGGGATCGGGGGTCGGGGGACGTAGGCAAAGGACGCAGTACGGTCAGTGGCGCATGTCGTTTCCCAGAAGCGAAGCGAGAGCGGCGGCGACAGCAGCCAATATTACTAGGAGAATGAGAATGCGACGAGGATGGTGGCAGATGGGCTGCAGAATGTCTGTCTACTCTGCTGGTCTGTGTATGGGCGTTGTTGGTTCGAGAAAGCCGAAGAGCAGGCATTACTCCTGTTGTTTGCTCTGTCAGTCAAAGGAAGGCCCCTCCAGCCGCGGTTTGAGAGTCGGTGTGCAGTCGGCGGGGGATTACACGGCTAAGGGACCAAGGTAAGACAAAAGAGACGGGATGGGGAAGACGGGAAAACGGAAGAAGTTACAGTGCAGGATACCTAGGTATGCATACACAACTTGCCCGCCTACGAGGTACACACAGAAAAGGGGACGAAGAACCCAAGGTAAAATGCAGGAATCCAATGGCTCTCGGCAAAATCCCATCTGGCAAGTGAACGGAAAGAATGGAAGGTGTCTGGCTGCGCCTGCCGCCGCCTCGTTATGCGGGCCGCTGCGGCCGTCATTGCATCCCGTCAATTGACTCCAGCGAAGTAGGTACGCAGTACTTACCTTAGGTACCTGTACTCTCCCCATCTAAGGTAAGAGGGCACTCACCGTTACTGCGCGTTGCCCCGATGCTTTCCATTTTTCTACTGCGTAGAGTACGTTCCCCAAATTTCTTCCTTCTTTGCAAGCCCAGCCTTCCCATTCGGGTCCCATTCGGGTCCCATTCGGGTCTTCCCAAAGACGGGCCGCGCTTTCTTTCTTGCAACTTTTTCTGTGATTGGACAGTTGCTGAAGAAAGCGCGCCTTGATCTCGGAAAGAACTCCTCTAGAGCGAACCTACCTCCAATGATATCTTTCTGCCTAGGAACTTATTTTTTAATTGGCAAGCGCCACTGCTTTTTTGTTTGGCCCCGGCACCACCCGCTCGGCTCACTCGGCCGCCGTTGTTCCGACACGGACTTTGGTGAGGATTCAGTGCCCCGCCATGTCACCTCCATCACTCCCTGCTTGCCATGCCTGAGTCCGCAAGTCAATCCCGAGCTTCCATCTTGAGTGATGCACTGCCTTGGAGGTACGGGGATAGGTCTGACCTAGCTTCCCCTGCCATTCCTCCTGTCAGTCATCGCCCGATGTGACTGGCACGCCGCATAGTCACCAGTCATAACGCCTATTCTTCGATTCTTACTCGGTCGGTCAATGTTGTCAATGTTCAACAGTAGTACTCAACTTTCCCGACCAACAGATGGGCACAGCAGCGTTGGTACGTTATCGGTGTGCCCCGCGTCTTGCCGCCTCCAGTACGCCGACCTGCATGTTCCACAACATCTTCTAGAAGCCCGCCGCCATGGCTCTAACCATCAAGCCCTGCCCGCCCTGATCTCGCCGCAATTTACCTCGTTCCGCTGGGCCAACCGCAGACCGAGAGACTCTCGTCTCTATCGCGTACGTACCTGCAAGGCAACCACATCCAAGATGTGATCAGCACTCCTCAAAGCCACTTGATTGGGGACCGAGGCCACCATCTTTCCCAGTAGCTTAGTCGCTGCGACGTGGGGGGTTGGAGAAGCAAAACTCTCCAATGCAACGTCACTCGACTTCCCAGCTCCCTCACCAAAAGGACCACTCTTCCGCACCCGCTGACCACCATCACTCCGATCCTTCTCTTATTCGTCCGCCGTCTGTATTCCGTGTACTAAACCATACTGCACATCGAGAGAAGAAATCCCCGATCTGTCCGAACCATCAGACGGTTCCCCAGCATCCAGACACTATGACGCAGAGGTATTCATACAGTAGTGGGAGCACTCGGTCCCAGCTCCCAGCACCGAACATTAGGTACCTATCTATCAGAAGCTGCGGACAGAAACCCGGCTCTAGTCAGAGACCTGCCGCTACCCCTCAGTCCTCTCCATTGTCTAAGATTACCGGCAACACCTGTCTCGGGACCCCGCATCAACTGCCCTCGTGGACAGCTTACACCGCCGCCTCCCCTCCTCGGGAATTAGGGGCATTCGACGGCAGGTGCTACAGCGCTACAAGCAAAAGCGGGAGACAGCATTCAACGGCTCGTCCACTCCGCAAGGATCGAAGAACTGAAGGCGAAGGCGAAGGCGAAGGATCATTAGCCACCGGCCGTTGAACACCAACGCGTACGAGAGCTGACGTGAAGAGCCGAACGCAGCAATGGACATCGAACGCCCGCCTATTCGTCGGTGGTATCCAGCATGTTCGCTTTGCATAATCTCGCGGCGCAGCAAGTCTCCAAATCGCCGACCGAAAGCGAGCATATTTGGATACTATTCTTCAGATTATCTAACGCGGTATCTATCTATCACAGCTACAGAAGAGCAATGCCATGTTGAGAAAAAGACAACCTCATCGTACACTCCAAGACAGCGCGCCTGGGCCAACGATCTAATTTTCTGCATAACCTAATGTTGCTTACCCAGACTCTGACCCCCGGTTCCCCAGGCTCTGCCCTCCCAATACATGGGGGACAAGGCAGCCTGGATCTAGCTTGCAGCACGCTGTCGAGCCGCATCCCAAGGCAGAATGGCATTGAGATCAGAAGTGGTGGCTACTCAGGGTATCGCCGAGATATTCGTCCTACATTCGGGGTAAAGCGAGAGGATAAACATGAACATTTCGCCCTCGCGATCATCACATCGAGCTGCTACTGCACCGCATTTGCTGGCGGACTGTCCACTGGGTGACTCTTCCAGTCCCATATTGACCCGTTCAGGGCTGCCATCTTGACCCAGTCGCAGCACAAGTCGGTCGCATTTTCATCCCCATAGAAAGAAGTTGGGATATCGTATTTCTCGATGGCTAGCATTCCCTCGGGGTCGTACTCGTCCCATCTTGTCGTCTCTATTTCCGGCAGGTCGCTTTCCACATCGGCAAGCACAATCTTGATCTTCCGGGGCGTCAAGTGATCATAGCTGTTCAGCATATGGTAGTAGTCGTCTTTAACGTTGATCCGTGGCGGAACTAGTGGTCGCGCGAGAACGACTTGCTCGAGCTGGGCCGTGTTTGCTATGTCATACCAGAGCCAGTGGCTCGACATGGGTGCGTTGAATAACACGACGCGCCTCAGGTTAGGCCACAGGCTCCAGCAGTTGACGGTAAAAGTCTGTTGCATAAAAGTCAGAGCCGGATAGTCCCGTAAACAGATGAGCTCCTCCAGCTTGGATAGCCGTTGGAACCCGTCCGTCAAAGTCGGCCTGACATCGAGGTGGTCATCGTATCCAGACAAGGTCCCGAACGGCATGTCGACGATAAGGCGCTTGAGGGTGTCGCAAACCTCGCAAAAGAGCTCGCGCACCCACATAGCCGTCGGTTTATCATCTAGCGACTTTCCAAAGGGACTGAGGTAAAGGGAGGTGATGCATTTGAGTGATAGGGTCGGGGGGAGACTTCTAGGCGACGGCGAGAAGAGACTCAGCAGAAGTAAGCTGAGGCGGCTTGTCGAGTCGATATGCATGCATCGCTTGCGGAGCAGTCGGGTACTGAAGTCATATGTTGAGCGGGAGACGCGACTAAAGGATATCAGGGCTTTCGTTGCACTATGGGACGCAGGCAAGATTGACGATTCATTCGGTGGGAGAAGACTCTCGATGATGTTCAAGATGAGTTCCAGCGGTAACCGCTGACGCTCAACCTGAGAAGAAGACATTTGCAGAAAGCAAAGGGGAAAAAAGGCACGTAGGTTTTGCAGATCTGGCCGAGGTCCGGTCACGCAACAAGCGGCCGGGAGACTCTTATCTGATGAGCTTAATTGACGGAAACACACTGACGACAAAGACGGATGTTGGGAGGAATGAGGGGAGACGCAAGCAGACACGCACGGGAGCCAGGCACCAGGTCAAGCTCGGTGAGGGGTGGCTGACCCCGGGTAGCCCCCGCTTTTCCTCGTAGCGCCCAATCCGGGGCCACTTCAGTCCGCTTCACCGAGGTCGGGCTTCGAAATTCACATACTCCCTGAGAATCCTCCCATTGTCAATGAACATATTTGCAATCTCTATTTTTAACCATTTCTACTTCGCCCGTTGACTGCCTCGATAGGTTGATAATCCAGCATTCTGGCTTGATCAGACCCCCACTATGTAAACCCTATCGTTTGTATCATCATTCAATCAAATCGGATGCTACTCCATCAATGCTCGTCATGACAGGCCATTTTCGACCGCAATTTCCGCTGACTTGGGCTGCCACAGGGAGTTTCTTCTCGGCGCCGCATTCGAACTGTCATCATTCTGCTCGTCAGGAAAGCTTCTAGGAACCGCATCGCCCGCTGGCCCGGCCTGCCATAATGTCGCGCTTCCCCTCCGCAGGCCAGTGTCGGCAAGCTTCTGGGCGGTGAACTCAGGGCTGGACGCCTGCGACGTTTCCGAGGGCTGAGGCTCTTCTTCCGCAACGCCGTCCGCCATGGGCGAATCGACCAGCGCGGGCGGCACGCTCGCCTCTCTCGTGACGTCTTCCTGCGCGGCCGCGGTCCCCTCTGGCGCGAGACTGACGACCATTCTCCCACCGCGGATCTCGCCCTTTCTCATTCGGTCGAGGCCACGGTTGATGCCCTCGAATCCTTCTTCTACACCGAGGACCTCGGGCGGGCTGACGAGGCCGCTCTCGAGCAAGCGCTCCAGCCAAGTCACGAGGGCTTCTCCCACGGCAGGGACCTCGTGGAAGACCTTGATGGGGACGGTGTGGTATGCGACTGCCTCTGGTGCCTGCTCCTTAGGCAGACCAGTCAGACCGATGAGGTGCTTGACAGTCGGCGCCGAGTTGCGAGGCGTATCCGGCGGGCTAGGCGGCGCGTTGGCATCCTGCGACGGTGTCAACGCGCGGAGCAACCAGCCGGCAGACTCCCGACCGCTGGTATCCAGCGCGAAGCGCAAGTCCTTCCCGACGTTGGCGCGGATGATGTCGATGGCGCGCGCAGGGTCGTGGCTGTCGACGAGTAAATCGGGCCGGAGAACCGTATGGTTCGACAGTCGGAGGCCGTGACGCAGCTTATCTACCACAGTAACGACCTTCAACCCCGCCAGCCGCGCGAGTTGCACAGCCAAGTTGGCTGAGGTCGACGACCCGCCCCAGATGACGACCCAGTCGCCCGCCGTGGCCCGTTCATGGTTCCCGATGCCCGAGAGACACTCTGCCCTGATATCCTGCGGCAGGCTCTCCGGCGGAACGGAGCGCAGGATCGTCAGCAGATCCGGCCCGTCGAGGACGTGGGAAAAGTCTACGCCCATGCAGACGGCCAGAGAGAGCGCGGCAGCGACGAAGGCGACGCCGAGGGTCGCGCCGGCGCGCGGGGAGACGTTGGGCGGGATGCGTGCGGCGTTGAAGTCTGAGGTGACGACGTACTCCTGGTAGGCTGCCTTGCGGAGGTCGCGGTAGTCTGTGGAGATGACGAGGACCTGGTCGCCTTCGCGGAGGCGGCTTTGGCTTTGCGTTTGGGAGGCTGTTGCTGCTGTTGTCGATGATGGTTGCGGGCGGCGGACGACGCGGCCTACGAGTTCGCGGCCTGAGATGTAGGGGAGAGTTGGGATTGCAAAATTGAAGTCGCTAATGTTTGGGGCAGTTTGTCAGTTTTGGTTACTCTCTTTCTCTCTTTGAGGCAGGCCTTCGTGAGGGCGCTGGATAAGGGAGAGTATTGGAGAGTGGGTTAAGAGACGTACGGCGCTTTCCAGTCGATCGGGTTGAGGCCGATGTGTTCCGTCTTCACCAACACTTCTTGCTCATTTTGGATCTCGGGAACCTGGTACCCCTCTGCCGTTTCGTACGGCTGCTTCGCCGCGTGGAGGATGAGGACGGTCTGCGTCGCTGGGATTTCTGCCATGGTGATCTGATGTTCTTTCAGGGTCTCGCCGTTATGATTGGCCAGAGTCTAACGGTCGTTCAGGGCGAGTAGTTCCCTCCTGGCAGGTATGGGATGGCAAAGTGGCTGTCTGCGGGCGTTGTGCGTGTCTTGGTCGTCTTGCTGCACACTGTCTCGCCTTGGGCAACGGTTCCTATCTCAGTAGATGACGCAGAATAGGAAAGTCGTAAAAGTCAGAAACTCGGAATGCAAGACCCTTGGGTAGAGAGAAAAGGGGGACGAAGGGACTTGGAGAGGAATACTCCAAATGTCACAATAGAATTGTTAAACTTTTTTTTCTTTGCATTTTCTCTCTCGTCATTTTCTCTAGCAAAAGATAAGAGCCATTTTGATTTTACACCCCCTCCCGGTATTCGGAGTCGCTTCTGGTTGTCGATCGGAATTGTCGTTCCTTTGGGTGCGCTGGGGGGGTATTACGTGCTCTCGTAGTCCCGCATTGCGTGATTCTTCCCCAAGATGGCTGCATCGCCATTGACCATTCAATCAACACCCCCCGCGAAACCCCCTCCAAATCAAAGAGCAACCCGACAAGGACCAAGGTTTCCCGATAGTGCTATGGGTTTACTCGGGGCTACGGGACTCAAACTCTCATTGATGGACGGTTAATTAACAACATTTTAGCAGCAGGCGTGGATATTTCTTGTTGGGTTGTCACAGGATTGGCAACAGTTTCTAAAAATTTCCCACGTGCGGGAGGCATTCCACCTGGCGGCAGGACCTTCCACACTTGCCTCCTGCTTGAGAGTAGTACCGATAACATTACCGAGTCGTCTACATCCGTCCAGACGTCGAAGCGCAGTTGCGGGTACCACCCGGTCCGATACGGCGATGAAGCCGAAGCTGGACCAACGACAGACCGGCCCCTCCTACACGCGCTCTCCACTACTGCCCCGCCCCCGGTCACGACATGTCGCAGGATTGTTGGCAATCCGACGTATTGATAGATAGTGCCTTTGAGCACGGCTGTCCGATATAGGCTGCTGAGTAATGCGAATGCTCGTGACTTGGGGATGCTGCGGGTTTGGTGAGATTGCGTGCTGGAGCAGAAATGCTGCGTTGACGGGACTGGGGGTTGGATGGTTATTTGAGAGTGCAAGAGCGCTTTGTTGAAGCCCAGTCTGCTGTATCATGGTTGATCGGATTCCTAAGTGGATCTTGTTAAGGGGTACTTGTTAGTTGATGTCGTGCAAGCTTCCGTCCTAAATATTCCCCTCAAGTCTTCGAGTCTTAAGGTAGACTTGGGAAATTCGATAGAGTATGTTTACGTGTAACTTTGACTGGCAGAGCAAACTGAAACTTGGAGAGATACATCTGATAATCTCCGAGTAATTCTAGGATGGCTGTCTTGAAGTTGCGAAGCGCTGTTGCTAGGGCGTCATGTGTCCATATCAGTTGAACTGTCTTGAAGAGAATCAAGGCGTAATTAATGTAGTAAGTTGTGGAGTGCATTTTAAGGACAAGCTGATATTAAGTACACGTCCTGCTTTAACAGACGATCTGAAGCACTTCTTGAATGCGGTGTGGCAAAGTTTCGCAGATAAGCTGTGTTTATCCCAGATATAATATAGATGATTTGAGAATTCCAGGTAGGCAAGTTGGAAAAAGACCGACCGATGTTGCTTTCACGATTTTCGGCCCCAAAAGGTCAAATATTCCCTTTCGTCATTTAGTCTTTGAAATTGACGAAGTTTCAGCGGCAAAATCATGGTGATACTGGAGGCCGCCTTTTCTTACTCAAAAATAGCTGTATTCCACCAATCCCGCCAACAACGCCAAGATACTTCGGCCTCTTTAAAACACCGCTGGAGAGAAAGATATCAAGCGCTAAGATTGATTTTTTTTCTAAGATAAAAAAAGCCTCTCGATTAATTAAACATTCAATCAATTAATTCAGAAACCACGTGAGAATTTCGTGGTTGGCCAATGAAGCTATTCCAGCAAAATTCCCGCTTACGTAATCACTCGATGCGACCCTGAAAGCACGGATGGTCCCTGGACCCTTGAAGATATCTTGTTTCTTAAGTTTCCAACTTTGCCAACTTTCCTGACATAATGCCTAAGGCCGTGTGAGAACTCGTCGCAACTTCGACCTTGAAAATATGACGTACAAGTTCATGGACGGGCAATTTTTAGCCTCATGACATTCGAGATCGCAACACATTCTGCAAATTTTCATGGACAACTTGCAAGTTGCGGATGACGCTAATGGAGGACTCTCCAGTATCACAGAAGTCCACATCGACCCCGATGGAGACCTCACTTTGCGGGCGGGGCAGCAGACAGACAAGCCCGAAAGGCTATTCCACGTCTGCGCCAGCGCCTTGCGACGTTCATCGCAGGTCTGGAAGAAGATGCTCTTCGGTCCATTCAAAGAATCTAAGCCTGCGTTTGGGCCATGGGTGGTGAACCTCCCCGAAGACGACCCCGAGGCTCTGGAGATAATCCTCAACATCATCCACGCGAACTTCCCCTTGGTCCCGAATACACCTGACCTGTTTGAGCTTTATGAGATTTTTCAGATGGCCAACAAGTACGACATGATTCCGGCTCTGAAGCCTTGGGCTGTTTCTTGGTTGCACGTGGCGGAGAATTGCCAAAAGGGTACGGATCGCTTTGAAGGCCGAGAGAGGGCGGCATTGTCCTATGTGGCATGGGAGCTGGGGCAGGTTGAGCTGCACAGGCAGATGGTCAAGGAATTGATTATGTATTCCTCGCTTAGCGAAGACGAACGCATGATCAGCCAGAAGGTGTTGTTGGATGAAGTTGGTCCTATCGGCCCACCCGGTCTACTTGGTAACATCCATGACTGCTTTACCCCTTGGATTTGCTGCTGTGCTTGAAGGGTTTGCTAACAGAAGTTTGTAGAGATTCTCCACAGACAGCGAGAAGACATCATCAATACCCTGCCACTCCAAATCAACTCCGTCATCAGAGAACTCATGTTTAACGACGGGTGCTGTGTTGATAAGAGAGCCACCCGTGAGGACAAGAAGCATTGCAACTTCATCATCTTAGGCAGCTTGATGAGAGGCATGGGCGACACAAGTGGTGGTGTTGGGTTGGAATTGAAGTGTGATCGGATGGAAGCTGTGGCAAGCTTTGTGGATCGCATCTGGCGCATTGCGGACGAGATATGTTTTCATGATGAGCATACTACTCGATGCAACCCGGGCCCGAAAATTCAATTCACATTGAACAAGGTTACCAAGGGGCGTATAGTTAAGCTGACGAAGAGCAGTATTCAAAAAATGGAACACAGACGTGAGGAACTCGGATTGGGACCAGAAGGGGCAAGAGGCGAAATTTCATAACACTTGGAAGCATTGGACCGTTATTTAAGATGCAAACAATCATTGTATTATTATGATCAAACCTATTAATCCATATGACTAACTAAAGAAACGCTGAGAATATCATCATGCATTTAGCTCATAATGCCCTTGTGGCCGTCACCATCAGCATCCTTGAAGGGGTTCAGCTTGTCAACAAGCGAAATCTTCTTTCCAGTGGCATCGTGCGTGGCGTGATCTGTGGTCGAGGCCTTGCCAGCGCCACTCTGGCTGGTGCTGGTGCCAGTTGAGCCGAAGCGAGGCTAAAAACATGGTTAGAACCTTGAGTGGACAAGATCATGATGCCAAACTTACTTCAGACTTGTTCAGACCTGAGCTGCCGTGGGTTGCAGTGGTAGGGCTGCCAGAAGTGGTGTAGTTGCTACCAGAAGTCTGGGTACCGGTAGGATGAGTCCCGTGCATTATACCTTGGGCGGTGCTGATGGACTTGTCACCTACAGTTTGGTTGTGGGCGATGTTATCGCGGCCAGTAGTCTGGTTGTGAGCCAGATTGCCAGTTCCGGTCGTGTTGTTGGCTCGAGTGTTAGCAGCTTGAGCCGCAGCAAGGCTGTCGGTGCCGTGCGTACCAGTGGTGCTGTGGGAACCGAGAGGGTTGTGAGTGCCAGTGGTGTTGTGAGTACCGGTTGTGGTGTGGGTGGTGTTGTTGTTGTGACCGTGATGGGTGGCAGCACCGGCGGCGGCAGCGCCGGCAGCAGCGGTAGCAGCCCCGGATCCGGAGTGAGTGTTGTGCTGGTTGACACGCTGGCTCTCAAGACCAGTGTGGCCAAGGCCGCGGTCGTTCACGCCGTGAGTGGCAGTCTCGTTGTTGTGGTGCTTGTGAGCAGCCAATGCAGCTCCTCCTGCGGCAGCGGTGCCGGCAGCAGCGGTGCCCTTGCCGGGGCCAGAGTGATGATGGCTGTCGACACCACGCTCGTGCTCGTTCTTGTGCTCGTGGTGCTTGTGAGCGGCAACTGCAGCACCGCCAGCGGCAGCAGTGCCGACGGCTGCCTTGCCGGCGCCGTGACTGTGATCATGGCTGTGGCCAACTCCCGACTGGTGAGTGTTGCCAAGCTCCTTGTGGTACTTATCGGGGCAACCCTCAAATTCGTCGTAGCGGTGGTGACGAGGGCCGTCGGTAAGGCTTCCCTTCTCCCTGGTGAACTCTTCGAGAGTCTTTACGGGAAGAGTGGTAGCCTCGTGGTGGATAGGCTTGGCGTGGTGCGTTTCGTGAATAGGAATCGTGGTGTGAACAATATGAGGCTGGATGGTATCCTTCTGAATAACAGGCTGAATGTGCTCGTGAATGTGGTGGTGCACTCTCTCGCCAGTGACGACGGGGGCAGTGGTCGAAGTGTGGGTGGTCTCGTGTGTAGTAGAAGTATCCTTGAACTTTGCGTGTTCCCGATCAAGAGTGTCCTTGGTTTCTCTCTCGTTTCCGTGGTCAAAAGTCTTGTGTGCGACGGGGACAATGTTGTGGTGGTGCTTCTCGGGACTGGCAATTGATTCGGTTAATCGAAAATTATATACACTGCAGTGAAAATTGCTTACAGAGTCTCCTGGTGCTTAACAGGCTGAATAGTAGTGTGGTGGTGATCTTGGTGAACCTCCTTGTCGACGGCTGTGGTCACCTCCTCGTGACGATGGGGACGAATTTGCTCCTCGGTAACAGCTCTGTTTACATCTTCATCGACACTGGTCTTGTGGTGACCATCCTTGGAGATGAAGCTAGAAACGGCTTGCTTGGCTCTATCCATGTTTGCAGTTGGTGTTGATGTTGCTTGATTATTGGTTGAGTTGTTGTGAGTGAATTGTGCTCCAAGAAGGTTCTGGGGATGATGAAGTTGCCGTATATATACATCAAGTTGATCAATCTTCACTAACCTTCAGACATCGAGAAAGCATCTGAAAATCGCATAGTCCTCACCAAAGAAACAAAAACGTCATGGGACATTGAACTTCAGCTGTCCTAGTACTAACGTCGCGTAGAGATTCGCTGAATCTCGAATTCCTTCTCCATCGGCGACTGGAATTCCCGTCAAAAGCGGCCAAAGCTAGGAATCCGATGCAATACGTCATTCAGAGATCATGATGAGCCTGGACTCATCGAAAACAAACGCCTCAAGGTTTGTGCCGAAGAGCTAAACGTTGAGTCGGATCATCTGGGGAAGCTGAAATTCGGAGCTACTATTCTGCCACTGACGAGGGTGATGAGCGACTGAGCTGGACAGTCTTGGCATGGCGCCTAGCGGTGGATAACATCCAATGTTATCGGAGGAATGAGTCCTGTGAGTTAAGCCTCATTAGTGCGATCCGTTGGGCCCCGTTCGACGGAAGAAGGCTTGATCTCAGTTCTCAGGAATCCCGGCGTGGTGGCGCAGACAGGTGTGTCTTGACTAGTCTTGCGCTAGGCTTGGGTAGCTCCAGATGTACGGCGTCATTATGGATGCGGCTATGGCCCGCGTCGTCGGAAATGGATAGTACAGTGGGAATTCCTCACGACGATCGCGGGGTAGAGCGAATAATCGAGAGTCAACAAAGCTTAGAGCAGTTGACCTGTCAATATTTTGAACATTTGCGCGTGTCAAGGTTCCCAAATTGGCTCTTGCGGTAAGTGAATTCTCCGAGAATTGCAATGATGAGCATTCGCATTGCATACCTATTAGGCAAGGAGTGAGAAGCGGAGCAGGATCCGTTGGAAGTCAAGTTGAAGGCAAGCAAACTTTGGTCATCGGCATTTCCCTCGGCGGCATCGGGGGTAGATCAGCGATGCGTTTCCTTCCCGTGTCTCTTTGCAGACCACTGGCGTCTACTACTACACGCATTGGGTTGAATAGTCTACACAAGCTCTGGAAACTATGATCCGTACCAATCATGTACCCTAAGAATGAGTAGCTTCATTTCTGCTTTTGTTGATGTAATGTAGAATGTTGCGTCTGTGACCGCAGCAGTCTCCACCATTGGGATTCGGGATATGATCGAAAGACTACTAAGATTCAGAACGAATCCATTCTAGGACGCTTTGAAATCAAGCCACCGCATGACGAAATAATTGCATCTCCCTATGCTGACCTGACAAGTCCGAGTACCGCTGGCTGGTGTCTGCATATTGTATACATAGCGCACGCACTCGTGCCGCATCTGTGGCTGGTCTGGTGGCTGAACGTGATGTTGGGCCGATGGCCATTATTAGATGTCCACCATAGCTGTGCATATGGTTGGCAAAGACGATCTTGACTTTTTTTCTGAATCAAACACGAATAGATTGAACTCAGACCTCTCAAATGCAGATAAAGATTTGCTTGGAAATCGATACTGTCCGACGCCATTCCGAGAGAAAACGGATTAACATATTTATGATATTGTGAGAAACTCTTAGACTGTTGTAGCAGCACACGTATTCTCGGAAGAGTGGTTCAATACGACAGGAGCCCGGCATCTCGATCGAGTTCGAGCTCGGAAGTCTGAATAAGGCTTGGTGTAACGCTGACGGACCCCTCTCTCTGTTGTAAGGGTGGGGGTCTGGGTTGGTTCACGGCCAAGCAGAAATCCCGAACTTCGAGCTAGCGAGCATGGGATGCTAGATCTAGAAAGAATGTTGCAACAGGCGTAATCGTTTTCAGACACGAAGGATGGAAAGCCACTAAGCCTGCATCACGCGTGAGTCTCCAACATGCGTCAAGACACCTCGATCATCGATGTTGCGTTGTAAGATGCAGCTAACTCGGGGCGTCCGAGCGGCGGCCACCTGGGTCGAGGCTAAACTGCACGTGGACAGAACATGGCGATGTAAAGCCGTTTGATCGGGCACATGGAGTATCTTCTAGATCTCTAGTCGAGAACTTCCTCATAACCCTGCTCCTCAAGAATGTCAGCTGGAGCTATGTTTCTGTCCACGTTCATCAGGAGGCAGTAGTTAGCCTTATTATACAGCATATCCAAATGCTTATAACTCCCGCCCAAAGTTGTCCCAACTATCCTTACAATCTCCATCAAGATATCGATCGGACCGACATGCATAGCGGACCATTGATTCGTGGCTGGACCGAGAGATATTAGGTCTGCTAGTGAGCATCCTACATCAAACACCTTCTCCAGTATGCCAACACCGTTGGCTTCAAAGGCTTTAGTTGGTAGCAGCCGTGATATAAGCACCACATCGCGGGCTACGGCGGTAGGGTAGCTCAGTGACATGCTGTCCTCGCTATCAGTGATAGATAGGAGCGTCTTGGACACGCATAGCTTCCACACAATGACCTTGAGCCATTGCCTTGAGATCAAGAGGTCGGCTTGCTGCATCTCGGAGTAGTTTGAGACACTTGGGATCGCGTACTTCAGGACGGTTTGTAGTTTCGAGAGATGTTCTGGGTCTGTTGCTTGCGAAGACGGTGTTGTGGATGGCGTAGACGAGTTCCAGGTTGCTATGAAGTCGGTGTCAAAGTGCCGGAAAAGGGAGATGAGATCAAGGAATCCGGGTAGAATCGCGGCATCTGAGCTTAGAGGGTCAACGATGGGTAGGCCCAGGCTGCTCTGCAGTGTCAGCGGCCTGTGCCTTTGCAGCGCATATGCTCTTTCAGTGATGAACAGAACCCAAAACATGTGTCGAGCATACGTCGCCAGGACCGGATCATTAATGTCGCTGTACGTCGCTTCTTCATGTAGGCGTAGCGTCTGCAAAATGGTGATTGACTCTCGGAGATAGAACCATGCAGCGTTATCGTTGTCCATGCAGAAAAAGGCCGAGAATAGGAAGAAGGAGGTTTGAGCATGAAGTAAGGACTGGTGCTCGGCGAGATCGCATTGGCGTCTAGCTCGAAGAGTTTCTGAGATGAGAAATTCGGTTGTTGGAAGAATAGGCGCAGGCACTTCGGTCGACGTGTTTGATGGCGGGTCGGGTGGCTGTAGGATCTCGGGCGAGAGGGATATGACAGCTGAGCAAGCTGTCATGAGCCCATATTTCTCGGGTGAGACAGAGAGATCGCGTATACATTCTTCGACTTGTTGTCGATGTAAGATTGGTGTAAGTGGGTATTTGTGTCTGAAGAAGGCATCGAGACACCACTGTATGATATCAGTCGATACTAGGGGCGAGGCTTGAAAGCTGGGGTCCCTCGGAGTCGCAGTCTGTGTCGGTGATGGTGGCGTGACTGCATGTGGTGATCTGCGCGCCTGGGACTCGTATCCGGCTTCTCTTGAATCTGGGTTCACGGCAAAGGACGTAGACTGTTGTGGATTGATCTGTCGCCGTTGAATAGTTTTCCGTGCATGGCGGGGACCTTTCGGCCCTGTCTTCTTCGGAACCGCAACATAGGTACACTCCAATATTGTCTCCTGGCAGTTTGCACAGGGCCAGCACCCGTCGCAGCGGATTTTACGCGAGTGACATGGATCACAAGCCTGTCGAACCTTGGGTAGCCTCTTAGAGTAACGAATGTTGGTTTCTTGGGACATGATACGTATTAATAGGAGATAGATCGTGAAGAGGCGAAGATCAGAAAAGCGTCATGCAGGATGGATGAAGGTTGGGGTAGGGGGTTACTTCGCGTTGCGGGCAGAAGTTCTCCAGGTTTATGGTAAGACTCCGCACTCTCCGCAACGTCGTTCTGGGGGCAATTTCTGAACTAACCCAAGTAAGGAACTTGCATTACTAGCGTGGTATCTCTTCCCCATCCTTTGCCAAAATTTAGGCTGAATTTTCCAAACATGAAAACGGATCGCTTTGTATGAAGACGTGGTTTGGAAACCTAGATGCATAACAGACTCGAAAACCTTCCTGTGCCTATGACAAAGTGTACTCTACACTGTCTCAAGAGGTGGCCTTCTTGACGGCCACTCCATCCACCACAACGTATTCGCTAAACTTCCTTGCTGGAACCCCCTGGGCATACATGTGATCGATATCCTGGTAGGTTCTGTTCTTCGTCTCGGGCTGGAAGAAGAAGAGAAGTCCAAGGACGAACACCTCGGCGCCGACAAACAGGAACATGATCTTTCCACCCCAGTTAAGCTGGTCAGGGTTGATGAAGAAAGGGAAAACCGATGACAGGAGAAGAGCTGTAAGCTGCTGGCACACCAAGCTGAAGGCAATGGTCTTGGGTCTGGTGGCTTGCGAGGCAGTCTCCTGAGCAACAGCCCAGCCGAAGCAACCCACTGTCGCGGTATAAAGCATCGACCATGTGATCATGAATGCGAGAAGAGCCATGTTTGCGGAGTAGTTGCTGGTTCCAGCGAGGGATGTGCCACCGATGATGATGGACCAGCAGCACAGCAATGCGCCGCCGCCAACCAAAGACTTTCTGCGAGGGAGGACGTCGGAGACTGTGACTGCTACGCAGTTCGAGAGGAATTGAAGGGTGGAGGAGATCGCGGTGAGTCCAAAGGGATCGGACTGGCCGATAAGTTCGAAGTAGTAGGTCTGGTATGTGTCTAGAACCGACTGGTCAGCAAATTGAGTGTCAAGTTACAAGGTATGACATATACTCACTTGCGAAATAGCCACCAGAGAAGTTCTGCGACTGCAATCCAAGAACCGCGACAAGTGTACGGAAGCGGTGCTCCTTGGAAAAGATCGCTCTCCAGCTGGTCTGCTTAGCCATGTTGGCTTCTCCCGCCGCAAGCTCAAGCTCAGACTTGATAAAGTTAAGTCTCTCTTCAACGTCGACGTTCTTGCCGTAGAGCTTGAAGATCGCCTTGCGGGCGTCTTCGTCCCTACCCTTCTTGACGTACCACACCGGCGACTCGGGCAGCCACGGCAAGACAATCATGAAGAGCGTCGGAACAAGGAAAGTCATGGCGAACGCCAGGCGGTAGCTCCATTGGCCGTAAATCTTGGAAGATCCCCATGCCGTGATGGAAGACAGGAAGAAACCGAGAACAATGATGACGTTGGTTAACGAGCTGAGGGAGCTTCGAAGTGCAGGAGGAGCATTTTCGGTAACGTAGAGAGGAGGCGTAACGGTTGACAAGCCAACCGAGAAACCGAGCAGCAGCTTGGAGACGAAGAGCACGGGTAGGCTTGGAGCGAATACCAGGGCAAACGAGGAGGAAAGGGAGAGAATAACGGCCGTCCAGAGAACGGCTCTGCGGCCAACGGTGTCGGCGAATTGGCCGGTGAGGAAGGCACCGAATACCTGACCGATGGTGCTGGCGGCGTTCCACAGAGATTGCCAAAGCGCAGGGATGACATATTGGTCTCCGACTTGGTAGTAGTCTCCATAAGCCTTGCGGAACTCGGGGAAGGCGATGGCAGCCCCTGAAAGTCCAGAGTCGTAACCCCATCCAAAGACGAGGGACATGATGTAGAGTGCCCAGAAGACATAACGCTTGTCTTGCTTAAGATTCGCCCAAAGGCGCTGGTATTGTTGCTTGGGGGTCAGGTCTTGGTTTTCAGTTGCCTTTGTAACGGCTTCGTCCGCAATGGCGAGTTTCTCGATATGGTCGTGGGCGACGACAGTTGTCGCCTCTGTTGATTTGGCATCCATTGTGACAGAAAACAAGATGAGATGATCTACTCGGGAGTATTAGGATTCAAGAAATGATTTCAGATGATCTGGAGAAAGCCTCTTTTGGGAACCAGGTAGGCGGGTTCTGAGGACTTTATACAAATCTAAACAGGAGGTTTCAGCGAGCCATTTGCTCGGTTCCGAACACTCTGGACATCTGCATCGGACGACACCAGTGGAAGCAGTCCCCACGGGGAACTCGGCATGGGGAATATTACGCGCTAGCAAGGAGAACAAGCCCTTGGGTTCGCCATCTGACTGGACCAGTATGGGTGTCTGCTCATATTCGCATGTCTCGCTGGAAATACTCGCATGGTGGATCATCGGTCTTTGATGGGACCGGTTCAAATGGTTGAATTTGGATTGGTTGATCAGCTTTCTGGTGGAGAACTGGCAACTCACTAACACAAGACTTCAGCCACGAGCCACGGCAATAAGCCGTGAAAGGTGCTTGCACCCGTCCCCCGGAGACGGACATTCTCACGCAAGAAACTGCGATTGTCCCATCTTCACGCCACTCATTGTTCATCGAACGGAACATCGAGAGACTGAACAATCAGATCTGTAAGTTCATCGACTCTAGGTCTTGGCAGACTCGCTGAAATTCTCACTTTACCTTCACTTACGAGTTTGGGTACTGAATGGTGACGAGTCCGAGGGCCAAAGTGGTCACAACGATTAGATACCAAGAGCAACGTCCAGAATCGTGGTGTAACCATGGCCTTGAGGCTCTTTGGACAAGTAATTGATCGAGCATATGTTTCGTAGACGGGAACATCAGCAAAGTACGATAAATTTGATGACGAGCTAACATGCTTCAATCTGCCGCAAAGCATGGTTCGACTGTGTAGACTTCAGCATGTGCGTATCAGGAGACTGCTCAAGCTACTCTTTCAGTGTCTGGTATGTATCTACGCGCTTGAAGACTTATGATCGGTATATTTCCGAAGCAAATGTGACAAAATCGATCTCCGACTTCTGCAGAGGCATCTTGCGCTCGCCGGAGACTTGGACCAGGCATGGTGGGGCCTAAATGTCTGGTCATGAGACTTGATGGAATCAGTCGATAGTACCGTTTATTACTATGAATCCAGTTCAACTCGTAGCTCCATATCGGCATCTTGAGATATTCGCGCTGCAGCTCTGGCGCAGAGTCTCCAGCATTAGATGCTGGTTGGTGTTTCTAAATGCTCAAGTAATAATAAGTATGTGTACATTACACAAGATACGAATGCGACTATGAACTACAAAGACTCTTCCAAATTGTGTGATAGCCTTCTCTGAATGGTTCGCGATTGTATAGATGATATACGTAGATATTATCATATTATTGACACTCACAAGAGTTGGGGATGAAGCACGGGTAAATGGTCCAGCTTGAACGTAATGATACATGTGATATACAAAGCCCGATGGATCGAGCAATGTGAAAAAGGTCAATGAAGAACAGAAACCTCGGGAACCGACATGAAGTGTCGTCTAAGTGCGGTGTGAGACTTGTTTTCGGTATTATGACCCAGCGGAGCTTCTCACTCAACAGCGACTTGTCCATTTTCAATATCCCGAGAATTTCAGCGCCGCCCAGCCCCATAATCCCACGTGCACATCGCGGTTTTTGTACAACCCGGCAAAATTTACCTTCCCCGTGTTTCTCTTTTTCTCCGCGTCTCTCCGTGGTATCCACAGCAGGTATTCTGTCAGCTTTGTCTTGATATCGAGACCGAAGCAACGACTCCAACAACACTCCTACTTCTTTCCAACAACATAGCCTAGTCCAACGGTGAAATGTGGCAACTTGGACCGATCTGTATTAGTGTTTTAAACTTGCAGTCCCTCGGAACAATCTTGGGCTGACTTCTTCCACACTGTGGTGTGGGATGACTGCTATCCAACACTAACAGCTTCCCCACGCTGATGCGGACGAATCAAAATTCAACCATGGAAATTCAGCCGCATTCAACACGCTACGCAAGCAAGACGGATGAGGCTGCTATTAGTGCGAATGATTCTGGCACCAACCTCCAATCATCAATGAGGCTCGTCGATCTGGGGTAGGTAGCTGCGGGGGTTCAGTTTCCATGAGCCAACTTCAAAGGCTGGAATTCTGAAGACTGAACATAAGAAGCGACCAAGTCGAACCCTTTGAAGCGCCCCTCCGACTGTCTTTACACTTGAGTCTACTTACACTTCATCGTTAGAACCTAGACTCGCCCATCAGACTTTCCTTCTTTATCGAAGCCACTATGGCAACTCCAGGACCCCCAGACAGACAATGGTGGAAAGAAGCTGTCGTCTACCAGATCTATCCGGCTAGCTTTCTCGATTCCAACAATGACGGACTCGGTGATATCCCCGGAATTATCTCGAAGCTGGATTACATCAAGTCCGTTGGAGCCACAGCTATTTGGCTTTCTCCCATTTTCAAGAGCCCTCAAAATGACATGGGCTACGACATATCCGACTACCGCGACATTCACAGGCCATACGGCACTGTTGCAGATGCAGAGAACTTGATCAAGGGTTGCCATGAAAGGGGCATAAAGGTCCTCCTAGATCTCGTTGTCAACCACACCAGCGATGAACATGAGTGGTTCAGAGAGTCTCGCTCGTCCAAGTCATCTCCAATGAGGGACTGGTATTTCTGGCGAGACCCCAAGATCGACTCGAGTGGCAACCGCCACCCACCCAACAACTGGGCTTCAATATTCGGCGGCAGTGCCTGGACATGGGACGAGCAAACGGGCCAGTACTACCTCTCGCTCTTCCTGCCCTCACAACCAGACCTCAACTGGACCAATGAGGACATGCGCCAAGCGACGTACTCTGACATGGAGTTCTGGCTGGACCGTGGCACCGATGGCTTCAGGATCGACTCGATGAATCTCATGTCTAAACATCCAGACCTGCCCGACGCACCCGTAACGCGGCCCGACTCGGAGTTCCAGCCCGGTGATCTATACTACGCCAGTGGTCCCCGAATGCACGAGTACATCCGGGAGATGCGCGAGAAGGTCTTCGACAAGTACAACTGCATGACGGTCGGCGAGCTAGGCTTCACCAAGGATGAGAACAGCGTCGCCGAGTATGTCGCGAAAGACAGACACGAACTCAACATGGTCTTCACCGGAGACATTGTCGACATGGACTTTGGCAAGAACCACAAGTATGAGCACGGTGACTTCCGCCTCTCGAAACTCAAGACCATCACCAACCTCTGGCAGAAGGCAATGTTGAAGTGTGACGGCTGGAACGCGGTCTACTTTGACAACCACGACTCTGGACGATCGCTCTCACGGTACGCCTCAGACTTGCCTCAGTACAGGAAGGCAGCCGCCAAGATGTTGGCCATATATCTTGGCACTCTCAGCGGCACACTGTTTCTGCTTCAGGGGCAAGAAATCGGAATGGCAAACCTCCCAGAGTCTTGGACAATCGACGACTATGCCGATGTCGAGGGCAAGAACTACTACAATAGCGTGCTTCAAAAGAGGGGCAAAGGCGCAGACATGTCGGATGTTCTGGCGGAGATGAGAATAAAGGCGAGAGACAACGGACGGCTGCCCATGCAGTGGAGCGCCGAAGCACATGGAGGCTTTACCAAGGGCCCAAAACCGTGGATGCGCGTCAACGATGACTTTGGTGAGTGGAATGTTGAGAGACAAGGAAAGGATGAGGGCAGTGTACTGGCGTTTTGGAGGCAAGTATTGAGCCTTCGACAGCAAGAGAAGGATGTTTTCGTTTACGGCACGTTCTCTGAGGTCAAGGACTTTAAGGAGAGCGAGGAACTATTTGCTTTCATCATGGAAAGCTATGAGGGCAGAAAGGCACTCGTTCTCTTGAACTTTTCAGACAAGGCACAAAAGTTAGGACTACAGGATTTTGATGGTTGGAAGCAACTGCTTGGAAGCAACAATGAGAGGATTGAAGGAGGGAGCCTTGAACTCAAAGCCTATGAAGGCGCTATTTACTCTAGTTGGTAGCTTCCCCCTCAAAACTACTTTTGAAGTTGAATATGTCTATTTCGGTCAAGCACGCATTGAGTAGGTGGCGTTTCCATATGAACAGAGGATGCATCGTTAGATGTAGCCGACATTTATTATTTACATGAAGGTGGCTGCGTATCCAACAAAACAGAATTTGGATCAACAGTTTCTCGCAACGCCATGCGGGTCTATTTAAATGCACGAGACTCTAAACCCACAAGGCAGAGATATTAGCAGCAATCAGTCTGTTCATGGTGGAGTTGATGTTGTTAACAGGTGGTTGCCAACCCAGTCTCAGTGGAAGCCTCTCATGCTCGACCCAATATCGAACCAAAGTCATGTTGGCATTTCCGTAATCCCCGAACGCCGACAGAAGCAAGGCATACTGAAGAAGTGAGCCTGTTCTCGCAAAGGTGGCGTTGAACTCTGGGTTGTTTGCTTCGCCCCATTCAAAGCGGGCTTTAATTTCTCTGGCAGCAGCAGCGAACTGCATGTGGATTTTCTTAGCTTTGCGAAAGATAGCAACTTCAATAAGGGCTGGAAACCTACGTCGATAATCTCAATGTCACCCCACGAAGCCAATGCGCGGCCCCATGCGGCATGACTAAAGCTGTTGCTGTCGCCAAAGTATTTGTCGTCGCGAGTTATGCTTCCATCATGCTCAATGACTTGCGGTATGTGCTGATCGACGTCACTGAGGTGAAAAGTTGAACTATTCCCCGTTGTCGATGTCGTTAATGCGGGGATGCCGACCGCCAGCATGGTGTTGTGCTCCATGTTGTAGCCCAGAGCCGTGGCTTCCCCGAGAACCTCCAGGTCGATGTTGCGACCGTCGCGCGGCAGCAATCCGTGATTAGCGAGAGTGTTGATACCGGGGCATGGCGAGCGCAAGTCTCCTGGTCCGGGAGGTTTCCAGGGAAATTCTTCTTCCGTCAGAAAGGCTGAGACGCTGGCGGCGACTAAGAGCCCAAAGCACGAGACACGATGTCTGGCCAT